TTACTTTTTCCTGAATCGCTCACCTGTAATTTTTTACTTAAATCTTTCATCAATGATTTTTTTGCTTTTTCAATATATATATTAATGAGTGGCTTAAAAATGTCATTTAAATGTTCTTTGTATCTGTCATATTTTCTTCAAAAGCAAAAAAATGCATTTTACCCGTATGTTCCATTTTAGCCATAGTGGCTATGTTTCTTGACGTACAAGGAAATAAAATACAAAATTTATTCTAGATACTCTGAAACTCATTCAGCCCAAGTTTGGCTGGAATTGATTCAGCAGTTTCAAAGGAGAAAATTTTTAAAGTAAGCAAACTAGATGAACAAATATTGAAAAATTGTCTTTAAAGGGCAATTACTCCTTAAGGGATCAATTGACAATTTTGGTCATTACACTTATTTGTAGATCTTACTTTGCTGAACATTTTTGCTGTTTACAGTTTATCTTTATCTATAATAATATTCAAGATAATAACCGAAAACTGCAAAATTTCCTTAAAATCATCAATTCAGGGGCAATAACCTAAAAATCAATGTCAACTTTTAAATGACACTTACTTACTTTCCAATTGTGAGCTCTCCCTTTTTTGTGGTAAATCAGTTTATTCGCTTCTGTCATGACTGTGATACATACAGTAACATTCTTGAGCAAAATAACTGTAAAACATATATCACGAGTCTCGACACAACATATACATTTTCTTCTAGATTTCTCGTCGTACTGAATGGATTATTCACAACACGTAACCGTACTCCACGCCTCACCACATTTTCTACTGACGATGTGTCCTTCCGGGGTATTTTCTGTCTATCGAATTTTTTGTTTTGTTTTGTTTGTTTGTTAAAATTTGTTTTTGGAGTTCATGTTGCAAGGGGGCAATTTTTGTAAATTATTTTGTTCTTTTGTATTCTACGGTTTGCTCTCGCGTTTTTCGCCTCTGCCTCAAGAGTCAAAATATTCGAATCTGCTCAGATTAACTTACTGCTTCCGTGTTCCTTAGTCAATATCTGCCGTTGATCAAACAAGGCAGGTGCAAGGTATTTTCATAATTTATTGCAAAAAAACAAGAAAATAATAATTAATCACAGAAGACTTTATTCGTTGCACTCAAGCAATGATATGCTGAACATTCAAGATTTATTCTAATCAAACCTCTTCTTAAATGTTAATAATAATCGCTGATACATTATTTTATTTTTTGAAATCAACATATACATGTACGACAAATTGCTTCGACAAATTATCAGATATTGAGTTTTTCTGATCGTTTGAACTTCGACATATATTATGAATTTGCTGTTAATGCTTCATGTCAAAACAAAATTGTTAATTGAAAAATTGATATTAGAATTTAAAAAATCCTTCCGTGGTCTCTAAGCAAAATGTTGTGTTTTTTAAATTTTTTAAAATTTAATCGGCCTTGTCACCAATTCCGAACGTTTTTACTAATTTGTGGACACATACTTTGAAGATTGCTGTAATTTATTTCGTTCACAGACAAACTTAAGGATTGATTGGCTCATTGGACTGTTGGTGAGCCAAACTTTAATATGTCCAACACAAAATTCACTGGCAGGAGCACCTAATTTTTTGCACAGAAATAATAAAAGAATATATAAAATATATATTACAGTGTATATAAAGTGCGAAACCAGTTAGTTCATTTTCACTGTCGTATGCGAGTATGTCTATTGTAGAATAAAGGATGATGGGAAAAACTGCGTTTGTTTACTTTTTGAAAATACAAAATAATTGATTTGAATGTATGTTTTAACACAATTTATTTAGAATATAACTTTTTAATGTATAATAACAGGATTAAAATCCAAAAAAAAAATGTAATTAAAGCAGCTGAATCCATAACATTGTTTACTGAATGCGATTCATTTTAACTATATATGCGATGCATTATCACTGTAAGTGCAATCATTTCTGATGTGGAATTCTTTGAGGTGCGATGAATTTTATTGTCGTTTGATATGATAATTCGAAAAGCAACAACTGAAAATAGTCTTTTAATGACTTTAATATTGATGATATTTACAATTTGAAATGCAAGCTAGTCGTAGATGCTTACTTGAATATACACGGGTATAACCAACGTAGGGTTGATTCCGGACGTTGTGCGTTGTGTACCGTTCGTCGATTTTTTTTTTCTGTACGTTCGTTGCGTGTTTACGTAATAGTTCTGTACCGTTCGTTAGTAAAACATCGAGAACATAATTAGCTGTGTCTATTGAAATGCCTATCTTATTTTTTTGTGAGCAAGCATTTGCAACTACTAAAACTATTTGACATTTCTAACATTTCATACTGAAAATTAAAGCAACCTGAATTTTGTATTTGTTTGACGTGAAACAGAACTTACTGGAGCTAGAGCATCTTCGCTAGCCAAGGGTTACGATTTACTTCCCTCCTCTCCACCTTGGCGGATTGAGATAGAATTTCGGAGACACAAGGTAATGATTTTCATTGGTTGCAGTCGAAACTCGCTGCATCCAATCAAAAAGCGCCTATAACATGATCACGTGTAAATGTAGAAAGTGTATGTAAACAATTGCCACGTGCTTATTGTGCAACAAGTCTTTACATCCCTAAACATACGACTATATTTAGTGATAATTTGAATGTTTTTAATCAATTAATAGAAGTTCCTGTGTATGTTTCTTGCACAAATGCATGAATGTCAACGTATATTTTCGTTTCCTGCTTTACCAAGTGTGTAGAATCTAGACGCTACCGTGTTTTTACCTTCAAATTGAAGAGTTGAAGTGCTACCATTGGTCAAGAATAATGTATTCGGAATGGGCGTGACTTTAATCTACCGATAGATGGCGCAACATTGTTATCACAAATGTTGGCTTAATCTGCCAAGGGTGGAGAGGAGGGAAGTGGATCGTAACCCTTGGCTAGCGAAGATGGAGCTAGAGAAGCACACTCATCGGGAACGCCTGATTGCAATCTAGTTTCTTAGAAATCCAGCATTTTGATCTTGAGGTCAAATGGTCAAGCTCACACGAAGGTCAGGGTGATATGCGTCACATCGCCTTAAGGTGATACACGTTCATATCATGCATATTCAAATATTTTCGGTGAGTTTCCTATTAGTGTGTCATGGATCCGAAAATTCACTGGAGCAGAACATCCATGAATATAACGTATTTTATGGCGAATTTTCCTTGAAAAGTTTAAGTACTCGCTTAAAAAAGCTTTGAAAATTTGTCACCCCGTTTCATACATACTTCTACCAGAGACATATAATACATGTATTATATGTCTCTGCTTCTACCATATTGATAGGCTTTTTGCACGACGAACAGTACAAGAATGTACAACGAACGGTACTAAAGAAAGCAAACAAACTACAAAGAGAATTAATCGTACATTGCCAAAATTCTGAGGTCAGTTTTTCAAGTAAATGACTGCAAGTAAAATAAAACAACGGGTTTCTCATTCGCATTATGTATTTTAAACAACAAATCACAAAATACACGGTCGCATTTAGTGTAAGAGTAAACTAACTATGCTCTATTTGTAGTTAAATCAAGTTTGAGTTACACAGAGTGTTTGTTTCGCGATGTTTATAAGTAATTCACAGACCAGTCTATCTAAAATAGTCGCATGTAATATAAATAATATACAATGCGGTCAGGATCAGTAAACTTTGTTTTCATAAACATTGAATACTTAACTCAACAGTACGTCAATTAGTCTTTTGTGAAAATATGCGGACGGTCTATCTACCAACATCGCTTCGCAATGCAGCGATTAACGACAGGAATCAAATGTACGGCGGTTATGCCCCGTGGTATAGAACCAATTAAAAATGTAACAATAAAATGTATTCAATATATACTTGTATTCTTACAATTACGTATTTGCTTATTTTGTAACAGCGATTTATAAAAAATTCAAACATAAATTAAGGTGACTCGATCGTTGCTCAAACTTTCTTTACTGTGCGAGATGTATACATAATGGCATGATAAATATCAATTATCCAGTCATCCAAGCGTCAAATGTAAGGCAATTGTTTGTGCGAGATGAAAACGTTACCACTCACTCAATCGTGAAATGAAGATCGTTTTGTGACTGCTCTTTGCTATCTAAGATGCATCCATTAGAGCTATTTTCTTAATGCTTGTAGTTTAAAGGTTTGGTTGGCTTTTTTGCTTTGTTTGCTCAATCTTAATTACAACGCTTAAGCAAACATTTATACAAACAAAGCAAGCAAACAACTACACATTTAAACTACAAGCATTAGTAAAATAACTATAAAGACGTTTTATAATTATGTGATGTAGATTTAAACCGAAACCGAAAACATTGCTTTTTCGGTGACTTTGGTTGGCTTAACTGTCCAAGATATATGTATTCAAAGATGATGGCGTGTCATAAGAAAGGATAAATTTTATCCTACATATAGATCTGGATCTGGACAAACTATTAGAGAAAAGAGAATTGACTATATTAGCAATAAATGCCATTTTTACGGAATTTATTGATATATTACCTCAGACTTTCACTCACTAAGTATGCACATATAATCAATCCTTCAGACTTCATAAATTTTGTTAGAGAGTTGGCTGAATTAAGACTTTATATGATGAAAATTAATTCATTTCCTTCTGTGAAAATGCATCGCATGTACAATAGAAATGAATCGCCCTACAGTGAAAATGAAAGTCTAGTATCATTATTCGACAGTAAACATGAATCGCATAACGAAAACAGCATAGTGGAATTTGATTCAATATCAACAAGCTGAATAACAAAACCTGTTTTAAGTTATACAACATTAATATTTATGTTAAAAGGTACATTTTTCTGCAAATAAAACTTAACTGCTACTTTCAAATCTCTTGCACGCTCTGTTCGTGAACTATTCTTAATATCTATCTATTTGTGTATCACTTTTACACCTGGATGGCTGTAGGCGCAATGAAAACCCGTCCGCATCTCATACCTTTATCATGAATTTATAAAAACAGTACACATTATATATTATTTCTTGTTTTATTCAAAAATCACGAATTTGTCGTCTGTTTATTTATCATTCTACATTAGAAATTCATCACGGATACAGTAAAAATGGCATTTCAGGATTCGCACATTATATACACTGTATTAGCTATCGACACTCAATTCTGGTAAAGCAATTCTATCGTAAATAATCATTTCCTACAAATCTGTATATCTACCCTAGGACTCTCTAAAATTAAATGCATATAATATTTTCAATTCAATTATAAATCCAAGAACAAAATATCAAGTGAAAAAGCAAACAATCGGACACATAGGAAAATTTTTGAACAAAAGAAAATCGGACAAAAAGCATCAGACTAGAGAAGCAAAAGTATGAAAGAAAAAGCAAATCGAAAGAATAGCATCAGTCAAGAAGCCAAATTCCAATCGAAAAGCAAAATTATTAGACAAATATAAAATTTGACGATCGGACTAGAACAAAAAGCAAAATCGGACATGAAGTAAAAATCACACAAAAACATTGTATCCACTTACTTATTGCACCTTCTTATTTTCGCTCAAAATACACATGTTATGTTTCATATCTTCAAAGTAATTTAAAACACCCCGCGTTTAAAAACCCAGAAATATCCCAAATACCAAATGTATAATAAAACCCCAACCTGATTGAGCATCGTACACCCAAACTAAAGGAGAAAGGAGATCTGGTTTAATCGGACTGCGTAAAACCCCTCAACAATGATTAAGCAAGTATGGCCGCATTCCCCTGAATTCATTTCACACTAGAGCCATTTAAAATAGTCTTTCAATATTTATTTAAATTCACAATATCACAGCTTCATGTTTTACTTTGAAGTTCTAACAGCATGGAGTATTTCCGAACATATATAACAAAATTATAAACAAGTCTAAATTGAAAACAACGTTCAAACCTATGATTGCGTTGGATAAAAACCGCAATTTTTATACGTGTGCATGCAAAACAAGTTTCTTGGTAGAGGGGTGTAAATACAGCACAAACAACATTTCCCAAAAGACCAAAAAATGTGAAAAAAGTATATTCTAACAAAACGCATTTGACTAGCAGGTCGAACAGCTGATGTTCTTAAACTCTGCTGACTGCCATTGGCGATTGCCAAAGAAACAGATCACAAGATGTAACAAAATGGATCTTAATATTTAATTTATTACCAAACAGAAAACAATAAACTTGCGGAAAAGATGGTATACCGCAAACATGAGGTGCAAAAATTTGTACACAATATCCGGATTTCGACAATTAATGTCTCTTCAGTGATGTTAGGGATCGAAACGGTATTTGGAAGGCCATATAATTTACCTCAATTTAGGATAGACTCTGAATTTTAAAGAGTCGAAATAGGTTGAACGGATCATATAAACCCGAATGAAAATATAATACAAGCCCAAACAAAAAAATATATAATCAAGTCTAAATTGAAAACAACATATATATAAAGAAGGACCAACACTGCAATTAAGATAGATTTTGTCAAATTCCAGGTATTTTACGTCCCCATCTCCATAAAAACTAAATAAGAAGAATATATTTAACCGAAATCGGATGTACTACTGTTGTCTGGGTTTCAAATTCAAATTCACTTTGGTTATTAGTACCCTTCAATGAAGAAACTTACAACAACAAAAAAACCTTCCCTTTAAATTTGCATATTTTGTATCAAAGTTGTCTTCAACATTGTAAAATTGTTAAAAAGTCTTTTAAATATATTATTTCCGACTTTAATACTAAAAATCCAATACGTTCAAAACACTTTCTTCTTTTGACCATGCCGCATTCAGAGGGAAATAGATACAGGAGAAATTGGCCGTGCCTCTTGAAAAAATTATATCTACCACACTGTGTAACGAGTACTTTTTGGAATGTACCTTCGCGCTTAAATAAAAAAAAATACAATACATTAAAGACACAGAATCAGGAATGTAAATTTCAAAGAGAATGCGTTATACAACATGCATGGCTCAGTGTCCCAGAAACACGATGCCAGACTCACATCTTATATAGGATTCTGGTTACAATATGTGATTACTCTCTTATCCTGTTGAAATGCGTACACATATTTTGAACTCTGAAAATACCATAAATACAAAGTTTGCACAATTACAATAAATACATAAATTAGTATCCTCCTCCATATCCACCATGTTCACTACGAAGGTGACCATAACACTCCCCACTAGAACCAAAATGCGCTAGACATACCCAGCAAAAATGTCTACGACACTTGGTACATTCCATATGGTCGCAACCAGATGCCTTTTCAATTGGTAAACCGCAGCCGGGACACAGTTTACGATTATGGGGATCTTTTCGTAGCCATATTGCTATTCCAGAAGTATCCTCCTTAAGTTCTTTCATATTGTCACATGATATACCATCATGGTACTGGGTGTGGCAAGCTGTACAAATCCTCGCCCCGCATTCACCACAACTGAATTCATTGACCATCTTTGTCACGCGGTAAACACTTGGGCATTCTGGCGAAGTACAATATTTATATTCATTTACATTTCTTGCAATATAGGAACTTGTGGCTCGATTGACCAAGTTGTTAATTGTCATTCCTGACTGCAATGATAATTTGGTGATGTCCTTCCATGACCATAATTCATCACAACTTTCTTTGCAGCATGCCAAGGGAAAGTCACTGTTTCCAACTGCTGATTCCAGTTGTGGAACGATGCAAGTTTTACAAAAAGGATGACCGCAAGATTCTAAACGGTACATTTCCCCATCTTCTATTTCCATGAAGCAAATAGCACATTGGTGTTCTTCATTCTCAATGTGCTCACAGTTTTGCATTTCTCTTAAATGATCAATCACACCATTTATTTCGACCACTGCTTTTTCAACAGCTTCAGACGTGCCGTTTATATCAACACTATGATGACGTAAATTAATCTGTAAACGGTGAAGACCTCTGATATCACGTTTCATCTTCCCAAGATCTATACCAAATCGTAAAAACATTTCTTTTATAACACCGAATGGCTTATCTGCTCCTTTTAGAGATAAACTTCGGTTAATTCCTTGACTCAATTTATACAGGTACTCTTTTAAAAGTGTTGATGCCTTGTTTCGCTTCTCTTTTTCGCCGTAAATCGATATTTCTAGTATTCGATAATCGTCTATTATCAACGAACTTGTTTGTGACATGATATTCCGTATTTCATACTTCCCAGCTCTTGTGAAAAGTTCCTGTATATTTGGAAATTCTTGCTTTGTCATTCTTTTGCCCTGAACAATTTTGTCAAGTTTTCGTCTGACCCTTCGTAAAGTGTCAACATGATCGCAATTCATGTCAAGTTTACAGTTTCCGTTTCTCATTATTTTATGGCGAATTTCAATCCCTTCTTGTTGATTCAAAGTAGTAATAGCTTTAAATATTACGTCATTACATTTTTCAAATATGGCTTTGTAAACAAGAATTGAGGCTTGAAGCGTTATAGATGTGTTTAGAACTTCACCATTAGGTCTAAAATTTTGCTGTACATGTGCACTTGCATTTTGTCCTTCTTCTACCTTTGAAAAAGATGCAAAGGCAAGAAACGTGAAATCCTGATCTTTGGGTGGTTTTATAAATAGATCATATTTTCCTTCTTTGACATGCATTTGTATGTGGGCACGGAGTCTTTGTTGGATTAAATCTAGTTCTGGTCTTGAAGTCTGAACCCTCTCGCGAATGAACGAAGCTGCAACAATATGATTATCACCAATATGGAATTTTGTAACAAAGCTATGCCTCAATACTGCTTCATTTACAAATCTGTTCAAATTATTAACAAATATTTGACTTCCTCCTTTTTTACTAGGATTCAGTACTGCTCTGGTTCCTCCTATCAGCAATGACCTACAGTCATGGAGTATATTATCAGCTATTCTTTGTTCGCTGAATTCTACAAAAGCAGACCCTTTAGATTTACGACGGCACCATTCGAACTTTACACGAAAACGATGTTCATTTTGGAGTCTGGCATTTCCAGTTGGTCGAGCACATATCTCTTCTTCTTTTGATTCTTTTACTGCATATTCAGCTTCTTGAGTTGTCATAAAGGTAACTTTTCCCCAATTTCTCTTATTCTTGGTAAAATAAAACTGTTCAATGTGTTCAACTTGACCATATGTCTCAAATTCATTTCTAACAACTTCTTCAGTAAGCCATTGCACGTTGAGAGGATCACTGACTACTATGACTGATTTGAATTCGTCTGGCATGAGAACATCTGCTACATTACAACCGGCTGAAATAACTATACGCGTTCCTTGGTTTGAAGAACTTAAATACTGTTCGCTTTTCTCATCCTTGAATTTTCTTCTCAATGCGTTCAATATATTTTCAACATGCTTAACCAATAGTGATGTCACGTATTTTGTATTTGTAGAATAGAGGCAAATTTCGCCTGTTTTACCATCTGTATCGAGTATAACAATACTTCCATCTGCAATCTCGTTAAGTAGTATCTCGATGTCCTTCAGTTTTGCATAGCGAGGTCCAACAAAATCTCTGAAAGTTTGGTCTCCCATTCCGTACGCACCTAAGCACCTTACTTTTTGTTTTTCAACACGTTCCATATCAAAGGGTTTAAGCCAACCTTCTTCTAGCCCTTCTTCAATCCACTCAACTGGTACTGGTGTGGCATTGACACCATAGTCTCGATTTATTTGTAAAACTTGTTCAATAACTAACCATTCTGGCTTGAGTCCAAGAGAAGGCAAAGATGAAGATGGAAAAAGACAAACATCATGTGCTTTATGTATGACATGATAACCAGCTCGCTCGTGTCCTAAAAAGTGACATATATTGTGCTTGAAAGTTTTGAATATCATTTTTTGTAACATGAGGTCAACTTTTTCTGGATCACTTAACTTAAATTCCAACTTAATTTTTAATTCCTTGCGAAGAATTGAGAGCACTTCGGTAGCAGTTTCTCTCACAGCTTTTATCGTTTTCCCATTAACATAGTTCTGTGCACACCATTTACCCTTGGAATTTTCCGGTTGAACATGCCACTCTCTATACGCATTCAACATTGTCATGACGTCGCCACCTTGATGCGAAAATCGAATTTTCATTTTATCCGCATTTGTTTTCTCTGCAAGAGTACCAGATCGGTAAAAGAGCGACCCTCCAGAGCCACAACAGGCTGTCAAAATTAGAGCTTCAATACCAACATCACATCCAATTGCGTCGTGTATAAATGCTCCAAGTATGGGATCAAAAGGTAGCTTTGCAATCCATTTTCCAATGTCTGTCAGCATTCCTTCTGATACTGCACCAATTGACACAAGCGTTTCCATAGCATTAGTCAGTTGATGCCTTGGAGGTGATTCTACGAAATCAAATGAAATAGGATCAACACCTAATTCCATGAGCTTTAGGATTGCCTGTCCTAAATTAACACGTAATATTTCTGGAGTGGAACATACATTCATTTTTTTATATTCATCCTCTGAATAAAGCCTAAAACATTTTCCAGGAGCGGTTCGTCCAGCTCTGCCACTTCTTTGATTTGCAGAGCTTTGTGTCACCAATGTTACAACTAATGAACTTATGTTCTTTTTAGGATCAAATTGCATTTCTTTTATTCGTCCGGAATCTACAACGTACTTAATTCCTGGTATTGTTATGGATGTTTCAGCACTGTTAGTGGCAAATACAATTTTCCGTTTTCCATGTGATGCAGGGTTAAAAACTCGCTGTTGTTCGTTTGCTTGTAGTTTCCCATGTAAAGGAAGGCATATAAAATCACGATAGCTTCGAAGTTTATCTTCAAATTGTTTGCAACTTTTTTCGACTTCTAATGGGGACGTTAGGAAAACTAATATATCTCCTTTGTCTTCTCTTAGGTGGACATCTATAGCTTTCTCGAGTGTCCTTTTTTCATAATTATCATCAAATGCCTCTTCTGACCACTCCACGTCGACAGGAAAAGTTCTACCGGAAACTGACAATACTGGACATTCACCGAAAAAACGAACGAATACATCTGGATCGATAGTAGCAGATGTTACTACAACACGTAAATCCGGCCTAGACGGCAGACATTTCTTTATCATTCCTAGTAAAAGATCAGTGAAGATGCTTCTTTCATGAGCTTCATCGATAATTATGCAAGAAAACAATGACAGATGGGGATCTTTCAGGCATTCATTTAGAAGCACATGGTCTGTCACGTAAAGGATTTTGGTATCTTTTGATTTTTTTGATTGCATACCGACTTGATATCCTACCAAGTTGCCAACGTTTGATGACATTTCCTTTGCTACTCTAGTGGCCAGACTAATAGCAGCTACTTTTCTTGGTTGGGTGCAAATGATAATCCCCTCTGAATAAATACCTGTTTGATATAGATACTGAACGACTTGTGTACTTTTTCCCGATCCAGTCTCACCTAGAATAACGGATGTTTGATCTTTATGAATCATTGTACAAATTTCTGTTCTGCATGCATATATGGGAAGTGCGGCGGCAAACCTGTCACACTCAGATTTGAAGCTGGTTTCAAGCTCCAACAATTCCTGTTCATTAAAGGAAGAGTTTTGAAGTTTTTCTAACTTGCAAAGGAATGACTTTATAAAAGATTTGAATTCAGATTTTTGGCTTTCCATTTCTTTCACTTTTGAAGTCAATGTTTCTTTCTCTTTGTTCTTTTTATTAAAGCTGTCTATTGGTTGAAATTTTTGCTTCTTATCCTTAAACTTTTCTAAATATTTTCTCAATTCTTTAAGTTGTGTCTCATGATTGTCCTGAAATTGTTTTGCAATGTCTGCTTGTTGGCTTGCCATATCCGATAGCCTTTTATTTCGCAAGTTTTGTTGAATCTCCTGTTTTCTTTTCTTATCGATATGACACTTAATGTTGGTTCCCGTCAGTGTGTTGCCCTTCTGGAGTAAAACCATAGCTTTCCTTGAAGAATTTGTGCTTGGGAATTCAACAGACAAAAAAATCACATTTTGTAATACTTCCATACTTTTAATACTAAATTTAACTTGCTTTTGTAGTCGCAAATTCAAAAATCGTTCCAAATTTGATTCTGCCCTTGAAAGATTATATATTTCGATTTCAATACATTGTGGTTTGCATTTGTAATTTCCTTGACCGAGTTCAGTCGTGTTCAATTTCTTTTCTGCTACTGCAGTGGTGTTGACTGAAGAGTCTGGATTGTTAATTTGATTTTTTTCAACGAGTTTATTAACAGTCAAAGGAGTGTTCTGTGTAATTTCACTATTTGTTTTCCTTGTATTCATGCTTTGTATAACTTTTATCTCACCAGTTGAATAGTCACCATTTTTGGGTGCTCCTGTGTAAACACGTTTGGATTTCGACTTTGCCTCAGTCATTTCCTTGTGATTTTCGTGCCTAACCACATTATTTTGTGAAACAAGGTCACTTTCCAAATTTAACAGTCCATCTTGTACAATCTTAATATTAGATTTATTGGATTGTAACTTTTTGTTGTCTATTTCAGATTTTAAGCTTTGTAAATTTTCACTTGAGTGGTAATTGTCTGAAACATTAGTTGTCTCTCCTTTTAGTTGTTTTTCTCTTTTGGTTGTGACAGTTTTATTCTTTGATATACAGTTGTGTTTTTGTTTATTTGTTGTGCTTGACCTTTTGAAAATCTGAGATTTGATTTCAGTTTCTTTTTTAGTATCCATTTCAATGCGTTGTTCATCAACAAGTCCGTAAAACATATCACAATTTCCACCATCAGATGTTTTTCGTTTTGCATGATAACCGATTGTTACGCTTTCAGAATTGGTTTGGATTCTTTGGTTGTCAATTTTGATAGCAGTAGATTGTGTTGCCGACAAAAGTATCTTTTGACTCCGACTCTGATCTTTTGGCTTTTTCTGCTTGTCTGGTGTCGTTTCCCTTGTGACATCTTTTTCGCAACTATTTCTGGGTGATGCTTCTGCTTTCGCATTTCTCTGTCTTTTGTCTCTTTTCCTTTGTTCTTCGTAGAAATGACACTTAACAATAGTCTTGCACTCACAGTTCCTTAAATGCAATATTTCAGTGACTTTTCTGCTCGATGTTTTACTGGGAAACTGGACAATTAGATTTGTACTATTTTGTTTCTTAATAATGTCTTCAATAGTAAATTTAACTGAAATCCCTATTCTATCTTGTAAAAAGCTTTGGTAGTCATATATGTTATCACAATTGAAAATTTCAAGAATTAATTTCTCTGGCTTCCTAACATTTTCAGTTAATGTTTCTTTCTTTATCAGCTCGTCCTTTCCAGAACTCTTTCTCTTTTCAGTTGTCTGAACTATATTTACACTTTCTAAACTGACAGTAACTGTAGATGCAAGCTCCTTCTGAACAATTGATTCTGCTGTTGATGTATAATGCTTGGTTTTAAGCCTTTCATACTCCAGACAGCAATCTATTTGTTTTTGTCCAACAGACATTTGTACAGTACTGTCACGATTACTAGACGCAATTACATTACTTCCGACATCTGTAGACATTTTAAATTCAGATACGTGTTTAGTCATGTCCTGAATCCATGTCTTTTGAAAGGATAAATCATATGGTTTAAAATCCGATAAATTATCGCATTCTTGATTTTGACAGATTTTACTGTCATCAACATTTTCATTATTCACTCGAAAGCCTGTTTCACTTATATTAGATCTTGATATCTCTACGTGTGTTTCTTGATATTCGACAGGATTGGTTCTAATACAACTTCTGGCATCATGTTTAGGTTTTGTGACGTTCTCGGTTCCCAAATGGGGATTTGTCTCATTTAGCACTTTTTTACACGGTTGTAGTGCAGTTCCAGATATCTCATCTCTCAGGGAAAATGGTTTTTGTCTGGTTTTACAGGAAATTTGATCCTGTGGGCTGATATTGGTTTGAGTGTCTTGAGTGGAAATATTCGTTTTTGGTTGTTGACCCTTTTCAGTTTTGAAACTAGATATTTCCATCTCAAGTTCACTTACGGATTCGTTTTGCAGGTTAAATTCCTCAATTTGCTTTTTCATTTCTATGTCAACAGATATTGCATTCAAACGTGATTTTGTATTCGCTTTTATCAAGCTTGACTGCCTCTTCACATGAGGGCCACCATGAACGTCACTGTTTAAAGTCCAAACTTCTTCAATTGACTTTTGCTTTCTCCATGCACTATTCCACATGTCGGAAACATCGCTTTGTTGCTCTTCGACTTTAAATTGTATTTTTTCTTGCTCACCCTGTGAGCTGTCGGCTTTACTTTCAAAACTGGCTATAGTACTTCGATTGCTCGTTTTGACAGTGTAAGATTGTTGTGCCAAGGTATTTTCCTTCGGGTTTTTATAAATATCTTCTTTTAGAAGTTTGCGTTTCGGTTCCTTCATTTCAACGGTGCTGCTTATCTCACAACTATTTCTGTATAATGCATTTTCAGTAAATCTTTCTTTTTCTTTTACATCGCCTTTGACGATTTTTGCCTTTTGAGCCAGATTGCTGTTTATTTTTTCTGTATCTAAAATAACTGTCGATGTCTCATGTTCATTTAAATTCAATTCCTCTATTGAAATATCATGACACGTTTTTGATGTTTCCTTCTCATGACCAAAATCAAGCTTTGTTTGTTCAGCAGGCGGCTGAACATAAGTATAAAGATCACTAGGAGCAACAACGTCCCTTATGACGTGTTTAGATATTTTTAAATCAGTTACTTCATTACATGTCCTGCCCAGTGACATTTTAGATCTTTTCTTAAGACAATCTGTGGTAGTAGAATCACGCACGTTTATGTTCGTTTTAAAGCAATATTCATCCTTTTGGGAGATTTTGCTGCCATCAATCATTCCAAACCAAGCTTCACTCGTATTTACTCCTGACATTTCAACAGTTGTTTCTTGATATTGAACAGAATTATTTTTAATACAACTATTAGCACCATATGTAGTCTTTGTGAAATTCTCTGATTCTGGCGTTTCCAAACGACAAGCTAACTTTTCATACATATCTATGCACGCGTCAAGTTTTATTGCAGTCTCCAATGAATATTCATCCTGTGAGCTGATATCACTCTTAGTGTCTTGAGCGGAAATGTAATGTCTTGAGTGTTCAACATGAGTCATTCTAACATTATCTTCTTCCATTTTGAGTTGGCTGGCGAGTTCATTTTGTGAATTCATCTTCCCGTCTAGTTTGTTCTTTTCCATATAATCAGATTTTATATTCAAATCAGATATTTCATTAGCTTTCTTCACATTTGTTTGCTTCTTTCCATAAGATAAATCCATGTCATTTTTCGGTCTTCCAATGTCTGCAATTATTTCTTTCTCTTTCCATGGACTAGTCCGCATTTCAGATGCATTCTGGTTTGAAGCGGAATACCAGAGTACATCATAGAATGTGTTAGGTAAATTGTCATTGCTAGAGAACACTTCATTCAAATGTTCTCCGCTACAGTTTAACCGTGGTTCTGAAACAACATTTTCCTTCGATCTAGAAGATTTTAAGTTCAATCTACATTTCGTTTCTGTTTCTTCGCGTTCCTCAAACAGCTTGACCTTTGAAGAATTAGTATCATTAGCATTATACATAAGTTTTACATTCTTTGGGAGAATTTTGTCACCGAGATTTGTTTTTGATTGTAAATGACAAGTCATCTCATTCGGTTTTTCTGTCGATTTATGACTTTTTCTTTCTGTTTTAAATTCCCAGTTGATATCATTTGGTGCTTTACCACCGGTTGATATCTGTGACTTCGTTTTCCCTAGTATTTCGCCTATTTGGTTTTCTTGAGAAAATGATGCTCTGTAACGATCATGAAAACTTTCGACTTTCGTTTTCGTAGACGTTGATGAATCTGAGAGTTTTACATAGATATCGCTCTCTTGGTTTTTAGGTGCATCTTTAGTCATAACTTGTTTTGGTGTATCATTTATAAATGAAGTAAGTGTTATTTGTCCAGAAACATCTTTACTAATTTCTCGGCTGTTGATAACAGCAGGTTTTACATCATTCGAAAATGGACTTGCTATTGACTCTGAATGCATAAGGTCTTCTTTGTTAGTTTTTTCATTTTCTAATACTCCATATAACATGTCATTACTAGAGTTAACATTACTTGATATAGAATTTGTACATCCGGATGCAGGGCATCTACCATATTTCAGTGTTTCTACATCGGAGTCTTCTTTAATGAGAATTCGAGAAGAATCGAGATCATATAAATCAGACTTACCGGTACGAGACAAAATCTGGGATGAATCGGCACCTTTTAAAGGGTGATCTTGGGATATTCCACGAACATCATTATCACCCGGGACACAAGACACCCTTATTGCATTGATAGAAGCCTCATCTGAAATGTCTCTTGATCTCCTGTAGTATTGTGTTGTGTTTGAAGGAATATAAGCGTCATCACGTGGACTGTTATCAATCTCTCCTGTTGCAGTTTCCTCACCCTTTATGTGCTTCACGATTCTTCTGAAGAAATTCATGAGTCAGTCTTTACAAACATCGTCTTCAGTACTACCTGTAAAAATATTCACAATTTTCAAGAATATGTTTGAAAAATATACAATGTTAACGTTTCATTCTAAGTGATCTTTTAAAAAGGTTAACAGATGTACTCTCGGAAGTATGATTATATTTAAATCAATGTCTTGGAAAGGTGAGCTGCTGGTATACCAGCTACTAGACCCACGGCATGAATCTTGAAAATGAAGTCCTTGCTTTGTAGATTTTGACAAAGCAAACAGACCAAATTCCCTACATGATTATAACGTTTGACGAGCATTAAGAGGCAACATTAGTTTACCGATTATCAAATTTCATAAATCAATTTCGAATAGAAAACAACAATTTCTATTCATATGTGGTATTGCTGATGTAAATCCTCCGTCATAAATTTCATTAAACAGAATTGCGAAATGAAGGTGAGAGAGCGCTAACAATAATGATTTTCTAAAGTTATTTCTAAGGAGAATAACCCCCCTCTCCCCAAACAAATTTGAACCACACTGAACTTACGAATCGTCTGAGATATTGCTGATGTAAATCTTGAGCATGAATGTTATTGAACTTCAATGCGAAACGTAGACGCGGGACCACTTACAATGTTGTTTTCCGATATAATTTACATTTGAAAAGGGCTAAAGTCTTAAATATTCGACCAGCCCTAACCCTGATTTTGAACATATCAGAGATATGGATGATGTAAACAGTTGACATGAATTTTATCAAACTTCAAACTGAAAAATCGTCACGGGAGCGCTTACAATGCAAATTTTTCATTTTTGTTTTTACATTTCGAGTATATAACCCCCAAATGATATTCGATCTGAATTTCGAAGTATTGCAAGATATTGCCCTGTTATGAAATGCTAAGACAAAAATTTCGACAAACTCCAATGAGAAATTGCTGATGAACCATTGATATAAATTTCAACGAAGGCGCTTACAAAGTCGGAGGGACGACAGGACATTAGCATTTTCAAATCCACCGATCCTTTTTTCGGCCGGGTTTGGAGGGGGGGGGGGGGGGGGGGGGGTAAATAAATGAAGTTTGACATGTTTCAATAGATACAAAAAGTGTTTTAGATGTTTATAACAACAGCATTATAAATGTCAAAATTATTCAACTTCTAAATATTTCATTTTAACTTTACTCCCTCATCATGTATAATTTGGCATGAAAAGGGACATATTCCAACGGTTCATCCCTACTGCTTAGTATTAAGTACCCCTTCCAAAAGCGACGTGGAAAATTAAGGAACATTAGGGAGCAAGGTCACATACTACACTAAATTATGATTTTAGACAGTTATATAATTCACGCGTCTTTTTTTCATAACTATGACCTTGACGTTAGACCAAGTAACTTGAAAATCAATAGGAATCTTTATCTTAATTATATATAGTATGTAATTAAGCTTCCGAAAACCACTTTTCTGCATTAATTGTGGTCTGTTTTAGTCACTATGACCTTTGCCTTTGACATGGTAACCTTACAAATCAATAGGGATTTCAGCATGTACATATAAAAATAAGAAGATTTGGTATGATTGACAATTCTACACAAGAGACCAAATGACAAAGAAATTAACAACTGCATGTATAGGTCACCGTACGGCCTTCAACAATGAATAATTACATTACATGTATGTTTTTTTATAATACGTTATTTTGATTGGCTAACAGCAATCTCGCGTCATTCTGAAATTAACCTTCATTTCAAAATGAAATGTAACATTCATGATGACACGAGCTTCCACAATTAAAGAACCTTAGTGAGCGCGCTCACATACCCCACGTCCCCACATTGTCACAGGAGAAATAAAATAACAGTAAGAAAAAAAAATTGTATAAGAAAAAAAAATTGAATCATAATTTCCTGTCGATATGCACATCTACGTAGTATGTCCTTATTATCTACAAAGTTTCATGAAATTCTGTTGTGTGGTTTCGGAGGAGTTTCCCTTTGAACAGAAATCTAGTAATTAATAAGTATTTCATTAAAAATTTAATTCTAGGGAAAATTAAAAAATGAGTTAATTCCCTTTGAAAAGAAATCTAGTAATTAATAAGTATTTCATCAAAAATTTAATTCTAGGGAAAGGGCTTTAACTGAACAAGGAGACAAGCTAAAATCGTGAAAATCGAACTTGACCTGTAACTTGTCATGATAAAACAATACACCAAATATCAAATCAATATCTTCAAGCATGAAGAAAAAAAGTCTGGAAAACTGATTTGCCGGACTGACGGATGGACAGACGGACGGACGGACAGACAGACGGACAGAGTGCAAACCTATAGTCCCCTTCGACTTCGTCGGTAGGGGACTAAAAATTGAATCGTAATTTCCTGTCGATATGCACATCTGCATAGTATGTCCTTATTATCTAAAAATGTTTCATGAAATTCTGTTGTGTGGTTTCAGAGGAGTTGCGATGACAAACTGTTGCATTAGTATAATGAAGCAAATAAGTTCAAAGGGGCGTAACTCCTAGAAAAAAAAAATTGAATCGTAATTTCCTGTCGATATGCACATCTGCATAGTATGTCCTTATTATCTAAAAAGGTTTCATGAAATTCTGTTGTCTGATTTCAGAGGAGTTGCGATGACAAACTGTTGCAGTAGTATATTGAAGCAAATAAGTTCAAAAGAGCGTAACTCCTAGATAAAAACATTGAATCGTAATTTCCTGTCGATATGCACATCTACGTAGTATGTCCTTATTATCTGAAAAGGTTTCATGAAATTCTGTTGTGTGGTTTGAGAGGAGTTGCGATGACAAGAAACAGGACTGACGGACTGACGGACGGGTCAAAAACATTATACCCTCCACAACTCGTTGCGTGGGGTATAATAAAGTGCACAGGTAAATAAAAGAAAAACTTGATAGAAATTATGTTTTCATGATCCTAGCAAAAAAATGTAATTATAAGTATTGAATGCTTCTTTTGGTAATTTTATAATAGGGCTGTAAAAGCGTTGACCGTGCGCAAATTTTTAGAATGTACTTCGGTCAACGCTTTTACACCCCAATAAATTTACAAAAATAAGCATTCAATTTTTAAGTAAAACCCATACCGCATAATCAGCTATAAAAGGCCCCGAAATGACAAACGTAAAACAATTCAAACGAGAAAACTAACGGCCTGATTTATGTACAAAATAATGAACGATAAACAAATATGATATACAGCAACAAACGACAACCACTGAATAACAGGCTCCTGACTTGGCCATATGTTTCAATCCGATATAAAGTATTTTATTTAGCACTAGGAAATACGACTGACGGAAGGACGGACGGATCAAAGACTAGACATATATCTAATGTTTTGTTCGTTGGGTTGTCGTCTCGTCGATGTTTACCACAAATCTGTTTTTTTTCATGTCTCATTCAAAAATGAAGACAATCGCCTGTTATGTGTATGTCTAAAGCTCCTGTCTTGATCTACCTCGGACGAGGTCACTCACATGATCAGTAATGTCACGAAATGAATTCTTATTACGTATATTTGATATGTAAAATGAATGTAAATATTTTTTTTTTCGCTAAGTATTTCAGAGAAGTTTGTCATGATTTTTATGTTTATCTAATATCGAGGTTAGGTAATTAATCCATGAAACACGAAGAAAACGTTTAATCAGCAGTTTAACTTTTTTTTAAATGCTGATAGATAGTATTCACATTTGCAGGTTTATTTTATATTTATATTTGTAGATATATGAAGTTCTCGGCAGGCCTAGTATGAAAGCCATGAACTTTATTAGCTTTTACATATATTTACTTTAGTGATAAACATTATGTATGATTCAGTGAAAGATTCGAAATTTGCCCTATCATAGTTTGTTTTAATGTTTAACAAATTAGAGGTAGTCATTAATGTTTCCAATACCTGATAAAATTGTTTCTTTTTAAATAGTAAAGCCTCGCACATGAAAAGTATATACTATTTATTAGATTGATTGGTTGGTGTTTAACGCCACTCTCATCGACATTCGCAAGAAAACTGACAATCCTTGTGAATTAAGATTTGAGTCGAGCGAACAACCTTAGTGTTGACAGGCTAGTTATACAGCAGTTGAACTACTTAGACCACTCTGCCACCGAGGCCCCCTATTTAGTAATAGTATATGAGAAGCTATATGTATACTGGAAAAAGATCAAAGAAGGTAGTGACTACATTAAAGATAGATGTCGGATAAAAAAAATAATGCACAAAGTTGGGATTGGATTTGAGATAAAACTTTCAAGCTAGTTTTCTCTGAACATGCATGACATATATTTGCCATTGGATGTTAATTCTTATACTTCAATTGCTTCCGAATATAAGAAGAAGTGAAAATTTTGACCGAAGAAATCATCGTGGTGAAAAGAAAATCCTGGTGGTCCTGAAACATATCATTTTTTAAAACTTAGAGTCATTTGTGTTCATACATTGTTCCGTTCCCCAACGATGATAAACTTTTTCCGAAATAAGATTTAGGCTGAGAGGAAAAGTATGTGAATAAAGCTGTTTATTCATCATTCATTGAGCATTTGATAAAGTCCCATACGCACATATATGATGTGGTTTTATTTGAATAAAGTTAACGTATGACCATGTATACTTCTTATTCAGCCACTGAGTAAGCACTATGAAATGGAAAAGAAGGGATTTGGTCTATCAAGACACAAAATCCGTATACCTACACTTAACAAAACCCAAAGCATAGGAACTGTGCATTTATCATTGTTATTCATCAGGTTTGTTTGCAGTTTACCATGCATGTTTGGTATATTAAAGCTACATACAAGATCTAAAAAAGAGTAAAATTATGGAAGGATTTTGGAAGTCATCAATCTCCTAAAAGAGATAATTTGTTACTACTAACATCATTCAAATGATTTAATGAGTAACATGTGTTTATGTTTTCCAAAATCTAAAAACTATAGGACCTTCAGTAATGAAATGTAAGATACTTTATATGTGCCAGCAATTGATTTTTTATGAATAACATCAGACAGGAATTAATATCTCTTCACAAAATTTTAAAAGTTTCACATGTACACCGTAATCTCGCCTGTTTTTACTTTAGTGACAAATCTTCTTACATTCTATGAATGCTTAGAAAAGATAATGTTTTAACTCAACTCCGGAAAGATTGGATATTGACGACTTTTGTCGATTTCTTTCAGATCATTTCTTTATAATTTGGGTTATACATTTATTCCTACATGTATAAGGCTTTTAATATAATAGCTATCAATACGAGCTTCTGAAATAATGTTGAATTGTACACGAAAGCGCTTCGAACACAAGAAGACTTTTATAATTTCTCTCCCAGTAAGGAAGTACTATACATACCATAAATTGACGTCTACTTATTTTTACAACTTGTACTATTATCTAATAATCCGCATAATTGTTAACCTGAAATAAAAAAAAATAAAATACTACTAATTCAGAGTGATATCAATATATATCTCCTTGCTGTGACGGACACTCGTTTAACCTAGCAAACCTTAAAAATCCTGGAATGGTTGGGGCTTAACTGTATCACGTGTTAAGTCGACACATAGGCGAAAGTAAGAAAATTTATATTGAAAGATTTTGAAGTCATTAGTATATTGATGTTTATATTGCCTTTTCTTTCTATTGATGTTATATTGTGTCCTCATACTACTGTACGGGGGTATTTAACGACCATGAGAGTCTCTCGTACGGTGAAAGAGTCTCTCGAACGATCGGTCGTTGCTATAATTAGAACATGACTTACGTCGTTTAAATAGATCACGACCATTAACTATTCACGGGGGAGGGGTTTGGAAATGAATATTCTGATGAATAAAATCATTATGCCCCCAAAACGCGTGTTATTAAAAGCAGTACTAGCACCGGTTGAAAACGAATCTTCCGTCCCAAAAATATCCTCCTGTCTCCCACCCCTTGTTTCCCCTTTCTAAAAAATAAAAAAACAAATGGTCGTCTCCTTATAAACTGAATCATGTCAGAATTTGTGATTTTCTTTAAGCATCAACTCGCCTTTCAATATATTTCTAAATCACAAAAATGACACTATATCGTCTCCAATTCATCAACAACGAGAATTCAAAGATGATCCTTACAAGCCAATGTATATGATAAATCGTTTGACAACCCCACAAAGTATATCATCACCCATTGCAGATAGTTCCCAGGGGCGGATCCAGGATTATATATGTTAGGGGGGGGGGAACTTAAATGTTCGCCGAGCGGAGCGAGGCGAACATTTTTTAGAGGTAAAATTGTTTGAAATATTCTTTATTAAGCTGAGGACAACCCATGCTTTGCAAATTTTAGGGGAATATGCAAAACAGCAACTTTGACATTTGTAAAATCTACTCACTTGTCAAAGTTTGAAAGAACATAGTCAAAGTAAGGTTACTAGTGGGGTTTCATGTAAAAAAAATGTTTTTCTTATAAATCATGGTTCGATTTTGTCAATAAATATGCTATCCGTTCTTTTTCATTTAATAATCAATGTTAACAAATATAGGGTTTAGCATTGGGTGTAAGTTAGTTATACAACTCGGGATACGGCGTGTCTGGATAAGAAACCCGCCGGCCTCCGGCCGTCGGGGTTTCTTATCCAGACACACCTATCCCTCGGTGTATAACTATTACTGAATATTAATTACCGACCGTGCGAGGGCTTACCAGCCAGTCAAGGTCGTTAAGGTTCATGTGGACCCTTTGGCTAAAATGGCTGCATTTTCACCTCAAAATTTACTCTGAGTACAGACAAACCTGAGTATCTGGAAAAAATTTAAGGCATAGCATACTCTAGATAAATAAAATTCAAATACATTTTCTCTTTTAGAAAATTAAAAACTTAACTGGATTTTGCTGTGCACTTTTTTTCATTTCTCCAGAAGGTGCCAAAATAAACAAATTTGGGAAAGAGGTTTGAGAAATTCCCCACAGGTAATAACTGAAGTGAACTGTATTGATTGACATGGGCTGTGTTTGGATATACGCCAGAGGTGGCCTATGGTTATCCATAGGTACCTTTGGTTTGATATTCTATATATCAAAATATCAAACCATTGGTACCCAAAGATACCTATGGGTAACCATAGGCTGCCTTAGGCGTATATCCAAACACAGCCATGGACAATAGATGGACAATAGATACCTGACAATGGCTGTGTTTGGATATACGCCAGAGGTGGCCTATGGTTATCCATAGGTACCTTTGGTTTGATATTCTATATATCAAAATATCAAACCATTGGTACCCAAAGATACCTATGGGTAACCATAGGCTGCCTTAGGCGTATATCCAAACACAGCCAATAATTAGTGATTAAAACTGTGTACCCGAGTGGACCATATCAAGTGAAACTCAACTGTTTGTTAATTTTTTATCATCTTTTCCATGGACAAAAAAAAGTGCACAGCAAAATCCAGTTAAGTTTTAAATTTTCTTAAACATAAAATGCATTTGAATTTTATCTATCTAGGGCATGCTGTGTCTCAAAAATTTTCCAAATGCACAGGTTTGTCTTTGCTCAGAGTAGATTTTGAGGTGAAAACGCAGCCATTTTAGCCAAAGGGTCCACATGAACCTTAAACGTGAACATACAATGATATCTGATCAATATTTCAAGTCTGTATTATGACCTATTATCATTATTATTATAATTAAAATATTTCCTTTTCGTTTGTCTCTTTTTATGATTCATGTTTATTGAATTACTATCTAGCTATCTCGTGAGTTAGGAATAAAGATATTTGTATTTTGCAACTGAAGATTTGCACGTACGTTCTTTGACCTTTAATAGATATAAAATATCCTATTTCATTTTGACAGTTTAACAAATGATGTACGTATACCTTTAAATCTGATGAACGAAAATATACTAGTGTTATTTTCATTTTATTTCCCTTTCTTACTTGGCATTTCTTATAATATATAGTATCTTACCGAATACTTCATCTAGACTAATATCCTGTTATCAACCACTGATTTCCCAGAAGTCAATTTCTACTTTCGGTTTACCTGATTTTTTTTAATTGATATAGTGACGTCACATGCATAAGTATCATACATACCATGATCTACTATTGGACGCTAAAACTGTCTGGGGAAGCAAGTGCTCCTTTAATTTATTTCTAAAGATCTATACCGGAAAAAACTGCGCATGATTAAAAACTGGTTTAAAACAAAATTGCTGATATTGTCAGTTTAATAGACAGACTTGGATTACTGTAAAACGAAACACTTCATACTGTATATCCTATATTGCTCATATTTTACTTCATTTCTTTGTACATTGCGTATTTTCACTAAAAACTCGCATGTTTTATAATAATTATTATGTATCTTGCCTGCTAAGGCCCCATGATTGGTAAATAAAAGAATGTCTAAAATGTAATGATCATGTAATGACATTATACCAGAGGAGATATCCCGGGTAATCCTGCAATTTGATTAGTGACCTTGACAGGGAACATAAGCCCATATCGCCTGTGAGTAAAAATGAGGGTCAAAATGGTAAATGATGTTGAAATAATAACACAGGGAATATGAGCTCATATACTATAGAGTGCACGTGGCCTTGAAGCTTGTAATCCAACTTGATATGTTTGTGTGTTTTTATTTTTTGTGACTACGAGGGCGCTGCATTTTTCAAGACAGAAAACCATTTTCCAAAGTTGTTTTTTCCCATTTTGCTAGTTTGTCCAGTTCTACTTGGATTTTATGTAAGTCGATGTCTGTGAAAAAGGGCATATAGACAGTACAGTATTGTCCGCAAGCACTCTCAATGTTGAATGGAGGCCTTGATCTAGGTCGTTTAATGATATAAAAAAATTGTAAACTGGGTCCTAAAACTGACCATTGTGGTACAAGATTTTAACTTCACTCCTCTGTTTTACCTTCGACAACCACTTCTTGTAATCTATTGGAAATAAAGTCCCTTATCCATCTAACTGTCTTACATCCACAGTTCCTTTACCATAATGATATAAGAGTAGACCAAAGGAATTTTAGTTCGCTTTTTAGTTTTAGAAAATTGCAAGAAATTGCTGTGACCGAGAAAGAAAGAACATTTAAATTTCTGACAAAATTTATAAAATGGTGAATGTCTCAGAGTGTCTTTAACGCATAAAATCGTCCAAAAACTTTATTCAACCTGATGACATTTCCGTTAATCATACATTACACCACTGTCCGAGGTTAGGGGAGGGTTGGGCGCCCGCTTACATGTTTAATCCCAGCAGATTCTGTATGTGCCGTCTTAAGTCGGGAGCCTGTAATTCTGAGGTTGCCGTTTGTTGTTGTATATCATATTTGTAGATCGTTCATTGTTTTTACATAAATCAGGCCGCTAGTTTTCTCGTTTGAATTGTTTTACGTTTGTCATTTCGGGGCATGTTATAGCTGACTATGTAGTATGGGTTTTGCTTATGGTTGAGGGTCGTACGGTAACCTATAGTTGTTAACTTCTATGTCAGTTGGTCTCTGGTGGAGAGTTGTCTCATTGGCAATTATGTCAATTATACCACATCTTCTTATTTTTATAAGTATTTGGTGCAATTCCTGTCGAATAATAGTTCTGTCATGCACGCAGGTATTTCGTACATTGTCTGCTCTGATTTCTATCATTCAAACAAGTATTGGTGCATTGTCAGTCTGATACCATATCTGTTATTCGCACAAGTATAAGTGTATTATCAGTACATATCTTTAATCCATACAAGAATTAATATAATATAAGTATAAAAACCTTTCTGTAATCCATCAAGTATTGATGTAATATCAGTATGAAAACCTTTCTGTAATCCATCAAGTATTGGTGTAATATCAGTATGAAAACCTTTCTGTAATCCATCAAGTATTGGTGTAATATCAGTATGAAAACCTTTCTGTAATCCATCAAGTATTGATGTAATATCAGTATGAAAACCTTTCTGTAATCCATCAAGTATTGATGTAATATCAGTATGAAAACCTTTCTGTAATCCATAAAGTATTGATGTAATATCAGTATAAAAACCTTTCTGTAATCCATCAAGTATTGATGTAATATCAGTATGAAAACCTTTCTGTAATCCATCAAATATTGATGTAATATCAGCATGAAAACCTTTCTGTAATCCATCAAGTATTGATGTAATATCAGTATGAAAACCTTTCTGTAATCCATCAAGTATTGATGTAATATCAGTATGAAAACCTTTCTGTAATCCATCAAGTATTGATGTAATATCAGTATGAAAACATTTCTGTAATCCATCGAATATTGATGTAATATCAGTATGATAACCTTTCTGTAATCCATACAAGTTATGGTGTTATTTGAGTCCGTTAACATTTCTGTTATTGATATAATTATTGGAGTTGTATTGTCAGTCTGATAACATGGCTGTAATCCAAACAAGTGTTGGTGTATTGTCTGTCTGATAACATAAATGTAATCCAAACAAGTGTTGGGTGTATTGTCACGGTCTGATAACATGTCTATAACTCATACAAGGGTTGGGTGCATTGTCAGTCTAATAACATGTCTGTAATCCATACAAGTGTTGGTGCATTGTCAGTCTGATAATATGTCTGTAATCCATACAAGTGTTGGTGCATTGTCAGTCTAATAACATGTATGTAACTCATACAAGTATAAGGTGCATTGTCAGTCTAACAACATGTCTGTAACTCATACAAGTGTTGGGTGCATTGTCAGTCTAATAACATGTCTATAACTCATACAAGGTTTGGGTGCATTGTCAGTCTAATAACATGTCTGTAATCCATACAAGTGTTGGTGCATTGTCAGTCTGATAACATGTCTGTAATCCATACAAGTGTTGGTGCATTGTCAGTCTTATAACATGTATGTAACTCATACAAGTATAAGGTGCATTGTCAGTCTAACAACATGTCTGTAACTCATACAAGTGTTGGGTGCATTGTCAGTCTAATAACATGTCTGTAACCCATACAAGTGTTGGTGCATTGTCAGTCTAATAACATGTATGTTATCCATACAAGTGTTGGTGCATTGTCAGTCTGAAAACATGTCTGTAACCAATACAAGTATTATGTGCATAGTCAATTCAAACACATGTAAGTAACCCATACAAGTGTTGGGTGCATTGTCAGTCTGATAACATGTCTGAGATCCATACAAGTGTAGGGTGCATTGTCAGTCTAATAACATGTCTGTAATCCATACAAGGGTTGGGTGCATTGTCAGTCTAATAACATGTCTGTAATCCATACAAGGGTTGGGTGCATTGTCAGTCTGATAACATGTCTGTAATCCATACAAGTGTTGGGTGCATTGTCAGTCTGATAACATGTCTGTAATCCACACAAGTGTTGGGTGCATTGTCAGTCTGATAACATGTCTGAGATCCATACAAATGTAGGGTGCATTGTCAGTCTAATAACATGTCTGTAATCCATACAAGTTTTGGTGCATTGTCAGTCTAATAACTTGTATGTAACTCATACAAGTGTTGGGTGCATTGTCACTCTAACAACATGTCTGTAATCCATACAAGTGTAGGGTGCATTGTCAGTCTAATAACATGTCTGTCATCCATATAAGGGTTGGGTGCATTGTCAGTCTGATAACATGTCTGTAATCCTTACAAGTGTAGGGTGCATTGTCTGTCTGATAACATGTCTGTAATCCATACAAGGGTTTGGTGCATTGTCAGTCTAATAACATGTCTGTAATCCTTACAAGTGTTGGGTGCATTGTCAGTCTGATAACATGTCTGTAATTCATACAAGTGTTGGGTGCATTGTCAGTCTAATAACATGTCTGTAATCTGTACAAATGTTGGTGCATTGTCAGTCTGATCAACATTCTGTCGTTTACACAAGAATTTGTGTACTATCAGTCTGAAATGTGTTTTCAAACGGAATGTTTCTGCTTGGATTAAAAGACAGCTTAAATGTTAGAAAACCAAGAAGATATTTGAAAGGCATTAAAAAATTACCACAATCCTCTCTGGCTCTGTATGAGAAGCAAGATAAATGATACTTTTATTTTGGCCGAATAGTATTGTACAAGTTCATTACATAAATATATTATATAGATACAACACTAATAAACTACATTGCTTGTGGGCCATATAAAAAAAAACCTGCATAAATACATACTATAACTTGTACAACAATTTAAATAAGGGATGGGAGGGAGGGTAACTTAACAGAAATTTAATGATAAAACTCAGGATATACCTGTGATATTTACAAAATAAAGTGTGAAACAAACTTCGCATATTATTATGCATTTTTATATAAACTAGAGGCTCTCAAGAGCCTGTGTCGCTCACCTGTATTTACTGATGCTTTGGAAATCATGTAAAATAAGGTTAAAATCACAATTAATAGTATCAAAATTAGATATTATAATGATATCTAAGATAATAACAAAAAACTGCAAAATTTTTGTAAAATTACTAACTCAGGGGCAGCAACCCAACAACGGGTTGTCGGATTCGTCTGAAAATTTCAGGGCAGATAAATCTAAATCTGATTAACATTTTTGCCACCTGTCAGATTTGCTCTAAATGCTTTAGTTTCAGAGATATAAACCAAAAACTGCATTTTACCCTTATGTTCTATTTTTAACCAAGTCGGCCATGATGGTTGGAAGGCGGGGTCATCGGAAAAATTTTTTAATCTAGATACCCTAATAATGATTATGGCCAAGTATGGTTAAATTTGTCACAGTAGTTTCAGAGAAGAAGATTTTTGTAAAAGATTACAAAAATGTACGAAAAATTGTTAAAAATTGACTATAAAGGGCAATAACTCCTAAAGGGGTCGACTGACAATTTTGGTCATGCGACTTATTTGTAGATCTTACTTTGATGAACATTATTGCTGTTTACAGTTTATCTCTATCTATAATAATATTCAAGATAATAACCAAAAACTGCAAAATTTCCTTAAAATTACCAATTCAGGGGCAGCAACCCAACAACAGTTTGTCAGATTTGTCTGAAAATTTCAGGGCAGATAGATCTTGACCTGATAATCAGTTTTACCCTTGTCAGATTTACTCTAAATGCTTTGGTTTCAGAGATATAAGCCAAAATCTACATTTTACCCCTATGTTTTATTTTTAGCCATGGCGGCCATCTTGGTTGGTTTGCGGGGTCATCGGACACATTTTTTAAACAAGATACCCTAATGATGATTGTGGCCAAGTTTGGTTAAATTTGGCCCAGTGGTTGCAGAGGAGAAGATTTTTGTAAAAAGCTAAAGACGACGGACGACGACGACGACGACGGACGCCAAGTGATGAGAAAAGCTTACTTGGCCCTTCCGGCCAGGTGAGCTAAAAATTGTACAATAATAGCAAATTTATATTATGAAAGTCACCATTCTTGAGTTTACAAGTTGCAAAGGTACTAATATTTCACATCATCACAAAATTGAAAGTCTATGCTAAATGTTTTTCATCCTGCATTTTTGCACAAATATCACTGTTGACATGCTGCAGTCTTCCCATATCTATTGGATAAAATATTTAATGCAATAATCAGTTTAACCTGGGAATAGTATACTAGTAGTCAATATATGATGTCCTAGGTTTAACTGAATGATGCAAACTGAAATTTTGTTATCTTTTAAATTTGGTCGCAAAGACAGGACAGCAACATTAGTAGTCAAGGCATAGTATATCATATTTATTGAAATGATATTTTGTTAAGACTGTTTTTACCTATTATTTCAGCCTTTGTACTTGATAGTTTGTTCTATAGTCATCTAAATACAGATTTATTATTTTTTCTTAGTGCACTAAAAATTTTTATTTTTAGAGAGAACTATTCTAAAAAAATAAATTCTAAGTGCACAAAACATTGATTTAGTGGTCAATTGACAGTTGTAAAATATTGTTGAAACTGTACACTTGAAGTTCAACTTTCAATTTGCCAATAAAAATGTTCATAGGTCAGTCATTCTCTATTCTAAAACCGTTTTGTCGAATAGGATAATTTTCAGTTATTACATTGAACTATTCCAGGTCATATGAAATTGGAGTGTATATCTTAATAAATATTGAAATTACAGTAACCAGATGACAGAACACAACTAAAGTTGAAAAATTTATCAAAATTTCTGAAAATTCCTGAAACACCGTATTCAGTATTCCAGTTGGAGCAATGCTTACTTTTCATTATCTGTATTCACTTTAAGCAAGGGCTTCTAAATAATGTACATAAGAAAATATTTGCATTCTTCTGTACAGAGAATGTCCTTTTAGTTAATTTGAAATAAAACTAAAAGATACCAAAGATACTGCTTCATACCTTGAGCTTTCACTATAAATTCAGTGAAGGCTGGTTGAGAGCTAAGCTTTGACAAAAAGAAAGCACTTCAACTTTTCCATTGTGAACTTTGTTTTGGGACTTACTCGGATTTGGTACAACATTTTGAAATTTTGGTATTCAATGCTCTTCAACTTCTCAAATTGATGATTTGGCCTCTTAACTGTTTTGACTGGAGGGCCACTGATGAATTCCATGCAGTTGGAAAATTTGTCTGGTGTATCAAATTATAATCTTTGAAGAGATTTCACATAGCAACACTCTAACAGTAACCACAAAGGGATTATCTATCTCTCAGTTTATATGATATTCAAGAAACTTGTTTCTTATGAGAATTTTTTTGATTGAAGGTTGCTGCTTACATGAAAGCTACTGAACCAAGGCAAAATATAAATTAGTCATTAAAATGTTGACATCTACATAATATCTTGGTTGACCATTATGGACTATATGTATCACAAAATACCATGGATATGTTTCTTTTTGTCATAGTCACAATTTCATCTTCCTTTTCTCATTTATGAACTATCACTGGATAGGTCATTTGATTATAAAAGAGAGGCAAAAGATACCAAAGAAATGTTCAAACTGACAATGCCAAGGCAAAAGATACCAAAGAAATGTTCAAACTGACAATGCCAAGGCAAAAGATACCAAAGAAATGTTCAAACTGACAATGCCATGGCAAAAGATACAAAAGAAATGTTCAAACTGACAATGCCAAGGCAAAAGATACCAAAGAAATGTTCAAACTGACAATGCCATGGCAAAAGATACCAAAGAAATGTTCAAACTGACAATGCCAAGGTAAAAGATACAAAAGAAATGTTCAAACTGACAATGCCAAGGCAAAAGATACCAAAGAAATGTTCAAACTGACAATGCCAAGGCAAACGATACCAAAGAAATGTTCAAACTGACAATGCCAAGGTAAAAGATACAAAAGAAATGTTCAAACTGACAATGCCAAGGCAAAAGATACCAAAGAAATGTTCAAACTGACAATGCCAAGGCAAAAGATACCAAAGAAATGTTCAAACTGACAATGCCAAGGTAAAAGATACCAAAGAAATGTTCAATCTGACAATGCCAAGGCAAAAGATACAAAAGAAATGTTCAAACTGACAATGCCAAGGCAAAAGATACAAAAGAAATGTTCAAACTGACAATGCCAAGGTAAAAGATACCAAAGAAATGTTCAAACTGACAATGCCAAGGTAAAAGATACCAAAGAAATGTTCAAACTGACAATGCCAAGGTAAAAGATACCAAAGAAATGTTCAAACTGACAATGCCATGGTAAAAAACAAGAAACGATGAAAGGACAAACAACAGTACACAAAACACAACATAGAAAATTAAACACTGAGCAACACAAACCCCACCAAAAACGGGGGGTGTTCTCAAGTGCTCTGGAAAGGTAAGCAGATAACATGTCATAAACAACATGGAGAAGAGGAACTGCTTACCCTTCTGGATCATTTCCCAGATTGAGCAGAGTTTATATTCATTCAGTTCATTATTTTTCGATGTAATGTTTTTTGATCTATAGTTTGTCTTTCACTTTTGACCAAGATGCTGTTTTTCCTTCAACTGATAATAGAATATGCTGAACAGTTCATACACTTTCTTTGTAAAACATTTGTGTTGTGAAATTATACAAATTTAAAGGTTTACCAGACAGACAATGATGGACAACCAGTCCTAGGTGAGCCAATAAAAGTAGAGGAAAGGATATATAGCACTCAAATGACACAAAAAGAACAACAAAAATCATTTCGAGGGCAACAATTTTATTCTTCCACAATAGTTATGTGCCTTTACTATGTCAAGTGTAAATCGCCCTATTTCTAGATAAGCAATGAATAAATTTTACAGGCACTGTCAAATTATATTGTAATTTTGTCCTAAAATACAATGGGTAATTTCTGGCACCTGAAAAGAAACTATGTTGGTTGGGACCACAATTTTTTTGAAATTTTGACCTTCTCCAGAAAACAATATAGATGGAAGTTAGGTCAACAAAAGTTAATAGACCTTTCTGAGAAATTAACTCTATATAATTGAGCAATTATTGATAAGAAGCTAGGAAGATAAAAAATAAGAATCTTTTCAAACTTGTTACATTGCCACCACTAGAAAATAACAACCAAATCTCATCTTCAATGAAATGCTAATTAAAATAAATATTTAAGGAATGACTGTAATATTTTTTCTGTCTATGAAGAAATAACATCAAAAATGTGGTGCACACTGATTAACCCGCGTAGCGGGTTATTTTAAAGTGTGCACCACATTTTTTATGTTATTTCGAATAGACAGAAAAAAATATTAGAGTCATTTCTTATAATTTAATTCTGAATTCCATTTTAAACCGGAGTAAACCATGAAAAAACGTTGATGACGTCACGGTCACATGACAAAATTATGTCTATGAGCTGATAAACAAAACAACGTCAGCCAATCAGAAGACGCGTTACATCCAAAATAAAAAAAGGTTTACAAAAGAGTATACATTTATTAACAACCAACAATAATGCACCAATTAATTTAGTTTAACAGCTTCTTAGGAAATTGTTTTATTTTATTACAGTAAACTCGTCTTTGAACTGAAAGACTGGCTCCTTGTTCATGTACTACTTTCTTTCTGCTTATATGGGTCCAGGCGTAATCCTAGATATTTGTATGATTTAAGATCCAATCCAACCTGCTTTATGCCTTTCTCAGAATTGAAGTCGCTTTACCAAACCAACTGTAATATGAAATTATGAATAAGTTAAATAAAAGTGCTGTTATTATGTTTTTGTAGTTAATTATTGAATGATATTCGACAAATTTCTCAAAGTACAACTTTTTTCTATAATGTGTATAATGTGTTTCTGAAGACAGATAAATGAACTATACAATCTAGTTTAAAAATATTCCAACAACATTATTGATGACAGTTTAGAAACTGAATTAGACAAATTTCCCCTAACATTATCAATGATCCATAAATATGAACCTGGCAAAGCCTTTTATGAAACTGTATATTTACAATAGGTTTGGAAACAAACAAATTTAAAAAATAAACTATCATAACCTGAATCTTGTCCCTGGAATTTGCGTTTTAAGTTTGGTTTTGTCTCTGGTGGTTTTCCTGCTTTAGGTAATAAATGACCTGGTGTTGGTGGAGGTTTGTTACTAAAGTAGTCCATTTTCAGTGACTGAAAAATAATGAATATCTGTGTAGCTTATTTATTTTTTTTTTTTATTGATGGTGTCAGTTTACAGAAGTAAACTATAGACATAGATATAGGTCTCACTGGTGCTTTTATAGGAAGAATTGTTCATCTGAAAATAAGCTGATCTTTGCAACAAAATCTAAATAATTGTCCAGTATTGCCTTTTTTTTTAAAATTATCTGTATTTTAACATGTTGACCTTTATAAAATATGTTAAATTTACTTTAGAATCTAAATAATCTCTATTTTTCTGTGAGAAAATGCAAACAGAGAATCATTAACCTATAATAAGGAATAACTGGTCAAGTCTGAATCAAAAACTGTCAACACATGTTGATATCAACAAATCTGTAAGTTGAAAGGTCCACTGTGAATTTAAGATGAAGCAATAAAGCTGATTTTCCTTTCTTTTTGTCAGCTGCATGTGGAGTTTTTGTGTCATTAATAAACAAATTCTCATAGATTCTTTTCCATTACTTATGTTTCAACTTAAGAGTCAAACCTGTATCAAGCAGTTGCTCATTGGGAATTCCAAAAGTTACCTTTAAAGAGATGTGACCTCTTAAATGAGGTTTCTATGTTATCAACAGCAACATCATTAATCTACAACAATGTTATATATACCTCTGTAGCTGAACATCTCTGTAGTGGATCCATGGCCAGTAATTTTTTCATTAAACACAATAAATCTTCGGTAGCAGCTATAAACACATCTTTTAGATCATATCCAGGGAATACCTTAAACTTTACATAGTCTGGTAAATCTTTCATACTCTGTAATATAAAACATGGATCATACCCTAGGAAATATCTTAAACTACACATAGTGTGGTAAATCTTTCATACTCTGTAATATAAAACATGGATCATACAGTTCATACCCTAGGAAATATCTTAAACTACACATAGTGTGGTAAATCTTTCATACTCTGTAATATAAAACATGGATCATACCCTAGGAAATATCTTAAACTACACATAGTGTGGTAAATCTTTCATTCTCTGTAACATAACATCTAATATCGTATCCAGAGAATATTTTAAACTCCATATACATATAGTTAAGTGAATCTTTCATACTCTATGATATGAAATATGGACCACAGCCTGGGAATATCTTAAACTTCATATACATTCTTCATGTGCCTGTCTTTGCTCTGAGCTATATTGCTGTCAAGTCAACATCCGGTATTAGAACACGTTAGTTCACGGAATCCCTATCAAAAATTAGGAAGTAATCGTTTTCATGTCAGTAAATGTCCTTGATTCCCCTTATGATTAACCTGATTGCCTTTAGCCATAAAATATAAAGGTATTAAAAAGGGGATTGAAAAAAATGTCTGGCTAGCTAAAAAAAATTGGAAACCCTGTATAAATGTATACGTTTAAAAAAATGTTAACTCTACACTTACTGCCCATGTCTCATCAGATGGTGTACCTAGCATCTGGAATATTCTACTTAACTGGTCTAAATCTGAATCTCCTGGTAGAAATGGTACCTGCAAAAATCAGGTTATCCTAAATATTTATCACAGTTTAAGGATTTTTATTAAGTTAAAGATGATTTATCTTGAATGATATATCCCATATACTAAGTATATGTTACTGATGGTGTATGGTCTCATTTTTTGTATAATTTGTCATGTATGTTGCAGATCTTGGTATGCGTAAGGTATTTGCAAATTCTGACTAAATGTTTACACCATACAGCCTACAACTCATCATCTGCAAGTTCTCACAGTTTTATGAACACTTAATAAATATAAATTTACAAACTGAGCTCTAATTAAAAGGTCTACCGGTATATATATATACATCCTACTTCCGAATAGGTTTCACTGTACATGAATGTAAAAATCTCAAAAGAATTCTGTCAATAAACACTGTACTATTTAAATATCTATGAGTTATCTTTTGATCCACTTAGTTTTGAAGTTATTTCTCATTCCTTATTTTCTTCCAGCTAGTTTGGGAGTTATCTCCTCCTTTTCATCCACTAAGTTTGGAGTTATCCCCCATTATAAAGGTATAGATTTAATATCATTCAATTCTTTAAGTCAACATTTATCTTGTTCACAGTTTCTTATGCTCTAAAGTCCTTGTTATTCTTGATCTTTATTCAGGTGTATTCTTCAATTATCCTCTGTTAAATCTTAAATCATTTGTCAAAAATATTTTCATCTTATCTTCTGAATCAGGATTGGGCCTTTATTTTTACGGGAATTCATCATTTACACTTATCAGGAATCGAGAATAAATGACTAATTTTTCAGGATCCGCGAAAGAGTGCTTTATTTTTTCGGGAATTCAAGATTCAGCTTTTATTTTTTCAGAAATTCAGGATGACACCCCTCCTACCCTTCTCTCTAAACCATGATAGGGCTATTGAAATAGATCATTGTTGTGGTGAGAGGTTTTCTTTGAAAATATATTACTGTATGATGCTTTTTGATAAAATGCATTTTTTATTATACATACTGTTGGTTACAATCAATAAATACCGTAACTCTATACAATTATCATTATCTTGATGTGCTCCATGGTCGTCTAAATATTTTTATTATGTGTGTATATATGTATTACTATGAGATTATTGGGCAAACTATAAGAGTATTTTTCACATTTTTTTTACATTCTGGAATTTATATACTACTCAGTATCTGTGTTTTTGCAGTAAGGTGTGAGCTATTTCTCTGCACTGAAAGCCTCACTGTGAGACAGATTAAAAACAGCAATAAAATTGCTTTTCTTTTGCTTTGAGGGTTGTCAAATGTGTGTATTGAGAGATAACTTATATCTTATTGGGAATACATAAAGTAAAAGTTCTCCAAATAAATGGGGAATGTGTCCATGGGACACAGATGATGCCCCCGCTTGCATATCATATAAAGTTATAAAGGGGCATAACTGAAGAACGGTAAAAGTCACTCAACCCAAATTTGTACTTGGTCTGAGTTTTGTGGTAATAAGTATTGTGTATATATAAGTTTCATAACATTTGGTTGAGACTAACTTAAGTTAGAGAACGGAAACGAAAAATTCAGCAATTTTCCCATTTGTAAAGGGGCATAACTCTAGAGCAGTAAAATTGACACCACATAAATTCAAACTTGATCTGTATTTTGTAGTAATAAGCATTGTGTATAAGTTTCATAACATTTCGTTGAGGCTAACTTAAGAAAGAGAACGGAACCGAAAAATTCAGCAATTTTCCCATTGTGAAGGGGCATAACTCTAGAACAGTTAAAGTGACACCACCAAAATTCAAAATTTATCTGTATTTTGTGGTAATAAGCATTGTGTATAAGTTTCATAACATTTGGTTGAGGCAAACTAAAGTTAGAGAACGGAAACCAACTTTGGACGTATGGACGTACATACATATGGACAAGGGTAAAACTTAATGCCCCCTCCACTATGGCGGGGGCATAAAAATACAGCACAATGTGTCTATGATGCAAATCTAAATTTAAATAAAAGTTCATCCAGAAAACATCCTAATGCCAATTACTCAATATTAAGAATTAGGAACCCTTAGTAAAATGTCTGCCAGTCAACATCCTACAGCCAATGTATCTATATTCAGAATTAACAAACCCTGAGTAAAAGCTCTGCCAGTATACACCCAACTGCCCACATGTCTACACCAGTCCCATATTGCCTTGCTCCAAACAACAGTTCTGGACATCTATACCATCTAGACATAAAAATATGTTAAGTATCATTGATGTTTATTCAACAACTTAAACTTTGGCAAAATGTGCCAGGTCATAACTCTTGTACAACAAATGTTAAAATGTGTCAAATTCAGTTGTACAGAAGAACAAGAGTAAAATGTTTCTGCAACTATTTTCACAAAAAATGTAAGAATTAAAATTGATCATAAGTTATACTGAAATGTTCATTACTTAAAGAGAATTTTTACTCAAGATACTTTGTGAAAAGAGCTGCTGATGTTTGTTTATTCTTAACTAATTAAATTTGTGTACAATTATACCCTATTTGGAATGACTCAAATATGAAATAAACAATTCTATGTTAGCTTGAGCTGCAAGTGAAAACCAATCGAGTTTGATAACATTGTCCTGTATACTAGTATACATAAAAATAAATGAGATTGTGTCCACATGGACACAGATGATGCCCCGCTTGCATACAACATTATAAAGGGACATAACTCAAGAACAATAAAAGTGAAAGTACCCAAATTTGTACTTGATCTTAGTTTTTTGGTAATAAGTATTGTGTATAGGTTTCATGTTTGGTTGGGGCAAACTTGAGTTACAGAACGAAAACTAAAAATTTTGCAATTTTTCAATTTATAAAGGGGCATAAATCAATAATGGTTAAAGTGACACTACCCAAATTCAACTTGATCTGTGTTTTATCAGCAAAAGGCAAAATTAAACATTGCATTGTATAAAGCATTGATTGTAGTTGATTCAACTGTAATAATGGACAAAGGAAGATAATTCCAATTTTAAAAATTACTTGAACAATGACATCATTGATATTTTTAGAAAAAAAATTGTAAAGGGGCATAACTTTAGAACAGTGAAAGTGACGCCACCAAAATTCAAACTTGATCTGTGTATTGTGGTAATAAGCATTGTGTATAAGTTTCATAACATTTGGTTGAGGCAAATTTAAGTTAGAGAACGGAAATAAAAAATATTGCAATTTTTCCATTTATAAAGGGGCATAACTCTGAAACAGTTAAAATGACGCCACCAAAATTCAAACTTGATCTGTGTTTTGTGGTAATAAGCATTGTGTATAAGTTTGATAACATTTGGTTGAGGCAGGGGCATAAAAATGTTTTCTACATAAATGTGGATAGTGTCCACATGTGGACACAGATGATGCCCCCGCTTGCATATCATATAGTTATAAAGGGACATAACTGAAGAACGGTAAAAGTGACGCTACCCAAATTTGAACTTGATCTGAGTTTTGTGGTAATAAGCATTGTGTGTAAGTCTCATAACATTTGGTTGAGGCTAACTTAAGTAGAGAACAGAAACTAAAAATTCAGCAATTTTTCTATTTGTAAACACACATAACTCTAGAACGGTTGTGTATAAGTTTTACATTTGGTTGAGACAAACTAAAAAATTCAGCAATTTTTATGTTTATAAAGGGACATAACTCTAGAATGGTAAAAGTGTTGCCACCTAATTTCGTACTTAATCTGTATTATGTAGTAATAAGCATTGTGTATAAGTTTCATAACATTTGGTTGAGGCAAACCCAAGTTAGAGAACTGAAACAAAAAAATTGTACTTGATCCTTACTGAGTTTTGTGGTAATGAATATTGTGTATAGGTTTCATAATGTTTGGCTGGGGAAAACTTCAGTTACAGAATGGAAACTAAAAAATTTTGCAATCTTTCTATTTATAAAGGGGCATAACTCAATAATGGTTAAAGTGACACTACCCAAATTCAACTTGATCAGTGGAAGTCAAAATTAAACATTGCATTGTATAAAGCATTGATTGTAGTTGATTCAACTATAATCATGGTCAAAGGAAGATAACTCCAATTTAAAAAATATATTATATAAACTTGATATTTAGAAGAAAATAAAAATTTTGCAATTTTTCCTTTTATAAAGGGGCATAACTCTAGATTGGTTAAAGTGACACCACCAAAATTCAAACTTGATCTGTGTTTTGTGGTAATAAGCATTGTGTATAAGTTTCATAACATTTGGTTGAGGCAAACTTAAGTTAGAGAACGGAAACTAAAAATTTTGCAATATTTCCTTTTATAAAGGGCATAACTCTAGATCGGTTAAAGTGACGCCACCAAAATTCAAACTTGATCTGTGTTTTGTGGTAATAAGCATTGTGTATAAGTTTCATAACATTTGGTTGAGGCAAACTCAAGTTAGAGAAAGGAAACCAATTTCGGGACGTATGGACGGACGTACGAGGGTAAAACTTAATGCCCCCTCCGCCTCGGCGGGGGCATAAAAATAACACAAGAAAACAAACTGTTTACATCCTGGTCTTTTGTTCTCTGCTGACTAGTTGTCTCATTGGAAATCATCTAATTCTATATTTGTCTTTAATTATGATATCGTGATTTTTATAGAATAAATTGTTATGTATAATATCTGTTATCAAAGGAATGCAGTACATTGGTCTATAGTTCATTTACATCATTCTCTTTAGCTGTATTTTTGGCATTATTTCATTGATGTAAATTCTGATCATCTCTATTTATTGATCATAATGACTACACCATGATTCAATGACTCAGTATACACCCACTACGATTTAGTAAAATTTACTTACAGCTAAACTATCAAACTTATCTAGTTACTATACACACTTGGAATTGGTAAAACTACTGGTAGCTTTACCTTTAAACTTACCTAGTAACCACTTGATTGGTATATACTCTTGATGGTGATCCAAAAAATTTGGCCAAACCAAAATCTCCCAATTTCAGTAAGCCCTGATCATTGATTAATAAATTATTGGGTTTCAAGTCCTGAAAACAGATAACAGACTGTTTTATTTAACTTGATTTGTCCATTTTCACTTAAATGTGTCAAAGCATTTGAAATATCTACAACCTATGCAAGGATAATTCTACTATCTGTACCCCCTCCAAAAAATAAAATTTGAATTGTCATGTTATTTGCATTTTTCTCCCACCAAATCAAATAAAAAATAACTAGAGGTTCAAAAGAGCCTGTGTCGCTCACCTTCGTCTATGTGCATATTCAACAAAGGACACTCTCCAACATTGTAGACAAGAATAGAATTCAAGACAAAAATCTGTTTGATTCTAGATCTATCTTCTTAGTTTTTGCTCAAAACACAAAAGAGGGTAAAAAAAATCCTCATTTAAGGGCAATCACTTCTATAAAGAGTGACAGTCCATATAGCTACTAACTATATCGACAAAATTTGACTTGTTAGTAGATCTTGCCTTGCTGATCATTTTTGTGATTTAAAGTGACTATTTATCTTTTATAATTTTTATCATATAAGGCAAAACTAAAAAAAAATGGTAAAAATCATCATTAAAGAGCAATAACTCCAATAAGGAGTCGTTGGACGATTTCCTCCATTCGTTTTAATTGCTGATCTTGTCTTCCTGATCATTTTTGCTTATTTAAGTTTCTATCTATCTATTATATAATATATAAGGCAAAAATGCAAAAAATTGGTAAAAACCGTCATCAAAAGGCAATAACTCTAATAAGGAGTCGACTGACGATTTCGACAATGCAGACTTATTTGTAGAACTTGTTTTGCTGGTCATTTTTGCAATTTAAAGTTTCTATCTATTATAGTTTTCAAGATAAAAGGCAATAACTCCTATAAGAAGTCATTTGTGAGTTTTGACATATATATGAACAATCGGAAGAGCTCAACATTCTGAATATTTTTGCCCTTGTCAGATTTTCTCTATTTATAACGGTCTTCAAAATAATAGACAAAACTTGCATTTTACCCCTATATGTTCTCTATTTTTAGCCATGTTGGCCATCTTGGTTGGCAGGCGGGGTCATAGGACACATTTTTAAACTAGATACCCCAATGATGATTGCGGCCAAGTTTGGTTAAATTTGACCCAGTCGTTTCAGAGGAGAAGATTTTTGTAAAAGTTAACGACGACGGACGACGATGGATGCAGGACGCCAAGTGATGAGAAAAGCTCACTTGGATCTTCGGGCCAGGTGAGCTAAAAAAGTTGGTGAATTCAAACTAAATATAAACATTTTTATAAGTACAATGAAAAACATGGATTTATTCTCATCATAAATGCAAAGATGCAAAATGGATAGTTGGAACAACCTTAGATGTATAAATAAATGGGGTGCTACGCTAGGTTGGGAAAATGAGGGATATTTTACCAGTAGAACCAAACAGTCAAAATATTTTATTGTTTTATTTGTAAGTCAAAGTTTGGATGTCTTCAATTTTTATGGCATTATATTTTTTTCAAACATAAAAGATTCACATCTTTAAAGAAAAAACGGTAAATTCACAAATCATGGGATGTTTTTTAGTTTTTCCTCAGACTAATTCTACAGGTAAAACATGTATACCTCTCTTTCAGAAAATCAAACCATTTAGAGAAAATATAAACATTTGTTTATCTTCAAATAATGGACTTAATACTTGGGGCCAAAAGGGACCTACTGCACCTAATTTAATGAATGCAATAAACTAAATTTCAACTGAATTTCATTTAATATATATAAAATTGGTAATTTTTCTTATTAACTATCTTTATCATAAGAATAAGCATTTTAACCTTCCTTCTTGTTTAAGTTTAAAAGTATAGTGATATCTTACTCTGTGTAGAATCCAGTGATGATGAAGGTATTCTAAACCTTTTAATGTCTGCAATATGTAGGATTTTATGTGACCAGGTGTCAGTACGATTGTATTGTCTTTAATTATTATCTGAAATTCAATATGTAAAATGAATATAGCAAACAGTCAAGAGAATATGTTGACAAATCATCCTACCAAGTATAAAAGCTTTTGTCAGTCTCTTGAGTATAGATGTGTTTCAGACAGACGGAGACCATTCTGTATCCTCCAAGGCGTGACTTATGAATAACAATTACCTGATGTTACTTTTTAATGGTCAACAATATCAAAAGCAGCTGATCAACAGCATGATGCTTTTTTTTCCATAAAACAAAAGTGTACTGTTGGTAGTTTGAAGAGTATTTAAATATGGGTTCATTGATCATATTCATATTTTAATCTAAGCTGAAGATAAAACATGTACACTCCATGTTCACCATATTACAAGTTTCATCCATACGAAAATGAGAAAACTGTGTACAGGAAGTCATATTAGTATGAGAACAGTCAAAATCTTTAAATTTTTAATTGAGGTCTGGAGCTGGCATGTCAGTAACTGCTAGTAGTCCTTTGTTAATTTATGTTAATCAGTGTCATTTTGCTTAATTTCTTTTGTTACCTATTCTAACATCGGACTCAGACTTCTTTTGAACCGAGTTTTACAGTTTGTATTACTGTGTGTTTGTTTATTCCACATTGGCTAGAGGTATAAGGGAGGGTTGAGATCTCACAAAACATGTTTAACCCCACTGCATTTCTGCACCGGACCCAAGTCAAGAACCTCTGGCCTTTGTTAGTCTTGTATATTTTTTTTTTAATTTTGGTTCATTTATATGTTTTGGAGTTTAGTGTGACGTCCATTTTCCCTGAACAAGTATACAGTATTGTTTAGGGGGCAGCTGAAGCCCACTTTCGGGTGTGGGATTTTCTAGCTGTGTTGAAGATCGATTGGTGGCCTTGGGCTGTTTTCTGCTCTTTGGTTGGGTTGTTGTCTCTTTGACACATTCCCCCATTTCCATTCTCAATTTTATCATGATGGAAGGTGCACAACCTCAAGAAGGTTTGCAACTTTCTGTGAAACAAATATCTGGGTCAGGACAAAAATAGTACAAAAAAGCATTTATCAAATTTCAGCCAATCAAAACAAAACCACTCTCCCTAATATTTGAAATAAATGATCAAATAGAGTAAAACATTTCTTTATTGTGTTAGTTCAATCAGGTTAAATTCTACAAAGGATATTTGAACCATGTTGATACTATGAGATCATCTTAGACATGTATGGTAAATCATTTTGTTTACTGTAGAAAGCTCATATAATCAAAATATCAAGATGACGAAAAGCAAAACATGAATGGAAGACATTACACACTAACCGGAGACAATATTCTTACTCAAAACCAGCCTGTTTTTGCTCTTACTCCTAAATGCTGTGTGCTTAGCAGAGAAGCACAAATATCAATTTTCAACTCTATGATTTGACCCTCTCACACTAGGCAAGCAAGCTACCATGGGACAACATAGGGGATTTTAACAGCAATACATATAAGCAAACAAAAAATAATAAATTTACAATTGTGCATACATGTAGTGTAAGAGAACATTATTGGTGTTATTCATTTACCAATAATTGTAATGGGGTACTAAAGCAGTGCGATAGAAAAGACAAAAATATTGTATTGGGATCTAAATCTAACTTAAGACTTTGTAACTAAAATCATTTGCCTTCTTGGTCAATATTTTTTTATAAAAGCTGTTACTATTTTGTATAAATAGTTAACAAAGAAGTGAGCACAGACAAAACAAAACTAAATTCACCTCTAAATCAGTATCCATGAAATCAAATACTAAACTGACATTTGATCTGTGTCCAAATACATCTTGTAACTGAAATGAATACATAATAAAATAATACATAGCATCAAGACAAAAAAAAATTATATGAAAAAAAATCAAAAATTTAATATTTCATTGTTAATCCCTGTTATGAAAGGGTTTATGTGTCTTTTCTGGTTTCATTTTGTTGTTGGGTTACTGTCTCATTTACATACACCTTAAATCTCCTTTAGTTCTTATGTTGTAACAAAAAACATAAAGCTAAGAAGAAGTTGATTGATTGTTGTTTGTTTAATGTCCAGTAGTAGATGTTTCATGCATATTCAGGATGATATGTTAACAGAAAATGAAAATCATTGAAGTTGAATGTATAAAAATCCCATTTCTTACACCTATAATATGGTGATGTTTAAGTTCTTGTAAAAGTTTTATTTCTCTCAATGCTGTCCTGTTTATACCATCTGCAGCTTCCTCTCTGGTACCAACTTTTATCTGAAATGTATTATTACACTGTTTTATCTTTAAGGAATTAAAAAATAGAGTCAATGTTCAACACATCCAAATGAAAATTTTCCTATAGATCATTAAAATGAAGAGGTTGATTCAAATGATAGGAATTATTACTAGTAAGTTATTTTATTTATTTCTTTATTTTTAAGTTGCCTGCTATTAATAATACACATAGATTTCTCTTACATTATTATTCCATAAAAAAGAGACCAAGGCCTCCTCAAAAACAAAGGGAAGGGCAGATGCTCGACTGTAGTCAACTATCATATTTATGTCAATTTGATTATTTTATATCATCTTTTATGAAAATACAAAAAAAACATTCATATGTTCTTTAATATTAAATGACACATGTACATGTACAACTGACCTTTTTCACAGCAACAATATTTCCTGTCTCCAAGTCTTTAGCCTTATATACTGTAGCAAACTGAAGAAAAAAAAGTAAAATTAAAGATAGGCAGTTTCCTGAAAAAAATCCACAGAATAATAAACACATTTTGAAGACTTTGAATAACTCTGGAGTAGTTTATTTTTGTGGATTTAGCAAATAGCATTAGAAATATTTGATATATAGTTTCTATTCCAATTTTACATAATACTGTCCCTCTAAAATCAAATATGAAAAATTAAAAGTAAACCAGTTAACCTACAAAAAAAAACTTAATATGATAAATATTAAAAGTCAACACTCTAAAATGGAAAAAAAAGTATGCTAGTTTGTATTTTTTATTGTCTAATTGGTAGCCAAGGAAGCTTCATCCATTACCATTACTGGATAGACACAACCCTTTGATACATGTTTGAAATTGTTTGTAAGTTATTGACAATGTTAACTTCAAATGTCACCACTCTTTTTGTCTGTCTTATGGTAAAATATAAAAAAGTTTAAAGCGATCAAAAATATTAATTTTTCAATTAAAAAAAGTTCTGCAAATTTTTTTTAAATATTCCAACTCTGCAAATGTAAACAATGAATGTCCAACTTTAGTTTTCAATCTATAATGACAATGTGAAATTCAGCATTCAACTGTAATAATACTAATTCAGCATTCAACTGTAATAATACTAATTCAACACATCATGTCAAATTAAACATTGTTTCAATCCATATTTTGTTTCTTGTACACACAAAAAAGATTTAGGAGCCTTACATATAATAGTTCTCTACTATTACATGTAAAGTGTGTTGCAATATTGTTATGTTTTACAAATGTAATAGATATATCCACTTCATTTTAACTTTGATGGATAATTGTCTCTTTGGCAATCATACCACATCTCCTTACTTTTATATGCCAGCTTTAGCTGGCACTTATGGTAGAAGCATCGAATTGGAATAAAGAACGATAACTCTCTCTACATGATCAATCTCAAAAGTTTCGTCACTCTCGTTAAATCTCGTACAATTTTTTTTTTATTTTTTCGAAGTTGATCAAGTCAAGTTATCTAACTCTTAAAAATATTTCTTTTCTTTTTTTCCCTTATATTTATTAAATAAATATTGTATTCTTGCTTGGCTCCAAATATAAAGTCAATTCTTCAAATAATGAAAACGAAATTAGCATTGGAATATCCGTCAGGACATTAGTTTAACCCTTATATTTTTAATGGCTGCCAGATTCTCGTTTAATCGCGATCTTGAAAAACGGGACAAAACGGAATAAATTGGATGTTCATTACGACATGAATTTTTATTTGTTTACAAAAACAAGAATTTAGAAATTTTAGTAACTTGTGTAGTTTATTTAAATTTTATTGTACCACGGAAATAACCGAAGTTTGGACAACAACATCTTACACCATGTTTCATCGTCTGCTTCATCTTTCCATTATCAGTGACAAATTTCCTAAATAACCACAGGCACTTCATTTAAAAGTTACAATATCATAATTTATGATAGCATTTGTAGTGTAAAAGTTCCGTCCAGCCATGGGAACACAGAAAAACCCTCTGCAAGCAATACATTTCGGGAGAAACGTAGCCGGAGGTAGTAAAATCCGCTGCTCTGCCTCTGGTTGACCATGACTACTATTATTTATCTGCTACAGAATTTCCCATAAGTTACAGTGATAATGAAGTTGGTTATACTGTTGAATGTGATCACGGTTATTCCTGTAGCTCACAGACAAATGCAGGTGAAATTCAAAACTTAACAAAAGTTTTAAACAAAAAAAATATATTCAAATTCACTATCTGTAGACTGTACTTCCTTTGACAAACTCTCAACAAATCTTGTCAATAATCATGACACATATCTACCTTAAACAGTCCCAGGAGATGGAGACTGTTTTTTTTTCACTCTCTAAGTTTAATCATAAAACATCTGTAAAAGGAGACTTGAGTCTGAGTGATACATTTATACATTGTATTGTATGCAACCATATTGTCCAAAATAGGATTTTATGGGAAGATGGAGTTTTGATAATCCATGACAATACCATGACTTTTGATCTATAGATCAGGTATAGGTATAGAGCATGTTACTTGGAAGTATGTGGGCTACATCCTTTGAAATTCAAGCTGCCGTCACATTATTTGGATGCAATAAAAATAATTGCCTCCAGCAGTCGCCTGTATATTTTATGCGTCAGTTTAAACCTGTTCAAAACATTTTCCCTCTACTGAATACTTTTATCAGGTGCACATTTCGACCTATTAAAGCAATAAACACTGATGGCTATAACGTCACAGTTCCAAAATTGCACAGAGTACCCAATTTGCACCTATTCAACAAAAATAACTGCGGAAATCTTACAAGTTTTCTTTGAGACTAAACAATTTGTATTGTTATGATTTGACATTATACATGTCTTTCAACATCGGTTAATATTTTTAAATATACACAAATCGTTCACAATGAGAATAAGATAAGATAAGATAAGATAAGAATTTTATTAATCTAATCAAGAACCCATAAAGGGCATCATTTACAACAATATTAAGCACAATATGATTGGAAAAAAGAAAAACTATATCCTAATATAATACTATCATATATTGGACAGGATCAGAGCCTAACACATCATGTGTCTTACATAACATTAACAATAATTGCATAATAATTTTATATATTTTGTATCCACCTGGATCTTATTTCTAAACACTTAATTATATAATTGCCTAGGCACATAAGAGTTGGTAAATGCTCATTTGTGAACAGCCAGAAATATTTTTTATCCTTGGGTAATTCTTTAAAATTATTACAAAAACTGTTTACTTTATCCCATAATAATTTTCTCTGTTCGTTATATAAAGGACAACTTACTGTGAAATGGGTCTCATCTTCAATAGAATTTGATCCATGTGATAGGCAGTGATGACATAGACGCTGACTTCTCTCTATGTATTTTTTACTATACCTATCTTTCTCAATTTTAAGATCATGTGCACTTATTCTCAATTTACATATAGCTCTTCTTATATTAAAATCTTTAATTGATAAATAAGCCTCCTTTACGAAGTCAGTCTTGAGGTTGAAATAATTTTCTAATTTACTATTACCTTGTGATAAGGTATCAGATCTTTTGACCCCCCAAAATGTTTTAAAACTGTTACAAAGTTTACATTTTACAAATTTAATTAATCTATTGAGCTTTGTATTCAAATTTTGTATATCAAGTGATTGAAGGACATATCTCATAGATGAATACCAACAATTAATGTTTCCTGCATCTAAAATTTTATTACAAACATAAGCATCATAAAGTAACCCATCGTCCAATTTGTTAAGCCTGTGTACATATTTTACCATAGATATAATGACAGAAAAATAAAGAGGAAATCTTGCAACCTCTGATAACACTGCCAAATTTGAGGCTTTTTTATTTACACCAAGAATATATTTTAGATACCTGAAATGTGATTTTTCCAAATAATCATTTATGTAAATTAATTCAAATAGATAATCACTTTTTTTCTTGCAAGCAGCAGAGTTAATCTTAAAGGTACCCCAGATTTCACTACAATATAATAAAATTGGTTTTATTGTGTGATCATATAAATGGATTGCAGTATCAATACTTGGATTACAAGCTGACATGGATTTTTGTAGTTTAAATTTTGCCTTTAAGGACTTTTTGAATAGCTCTTCTTTCCCCTGCTGAAAAAGACCACTGGAAGTAAAGACTATCCCTAAATATTTATATCTGTTAACACATTCTATAGCCTCATTATCTAAACAAAGAGATTCCTTCAAAAATTTTCCAGGCTTGTTAAAAATTAAAACTTTTGTTTTGGACAAGTTAACATCTAGACACCAATCAATACAATAAGTTTGCAGGTTATCAAGTCGGGTTTGCAGACCCTGTTTAGTGTTTGATAATATAATAATGTCATCGGCGTACATAAGACAATCAATTCTACGCCCATTGATATAAACAGCATCTGGACTCGACTCAAATCTTGGAGGCAGATCGTTAATGAAAAGCTTAAATAAATTTGGGCTTAGAACATCCCCTTGCCTAACCCCAACTAGCGAGCTGAAAGATGGCGTTAGTACATTACCCACTTTCACCGACATTTCATTTTTTCTGTACATGTCTTTTAAAATAGTATAAAATTTTCCAGATATGTTATTTTCCAATAATTTGTATCTAATACCACAGTGTATGACCCTATCAAAAGCCTTTTTAAAGTCCACAAAGCAAGCATAAATTTTCCCCCCTTTTCTGTTAGTATATTTATCTAATATGGTTTTTAAAACAAACATATGGTCAGATGTTCTGCTCTTTTTTGAGAAACCAACCTGACATGGATGAATTATATTATTTTTATCAAGATGAATGTCAAGTCTTTTATTAAGAATACTGTTAAATAATTTTCCAATGCATGAATTAATTGCTATGCCTCTGTAATTTTCAGGTTTACTAGGACTCCCTGCTTTAAAAATTGGACATATATAAGACAATGACCATTTGCGAGGGTATGTTCCAGAGCAGAATATCAAGTTAAAAAGTTTCTGCAAAACAGGTGCAAATATACTACCCCCTGATTTTAATATCTCGTTTGGGATACCATCTAGTCCTGCAGCTTTATTATTCTTTAGTTTATTTATAGCATCCAAAATTTCTTTTAGGGTTATTTTGTAATCCAGTTCACAAAAAGTTGGATTATTTTCTAAATTTTTTACTTTCTTGTTAATTTCCTCTAATCTGTCTTTAAATTTGTCAGAGTTGAGATTTAAAGATTGAAAATATGAAAACCAGACGTTAGTTTGAATAGAATGTTCTGGACCATCCAAATTGTCTTCTTTTAATTCTTTGATGAGATTCCAATAACTCTTTGGATTATTATCCCTTAGATTATCCAGACTGTCAAGAATGTTTTGTTTAAATTTCCTTTGTTTATATTTACGTAGCTTATTATACTCCCTATAACATTTATAGTAAGACCCTTTTATAATTGGGTCCCAGGGGAATTTTGATAACAGCTCACCTTTAGAAATAAGGCTTTTACGTTTTTGTACCAGGTCTTTGTCAAACCATTTTTTGTTTTTGTATTTACGTGCAACTTTTTTCTTGGTTTTACGGAATATTAAACATTTACTGGCAGCATTATCTATTATATCAAAACATTCATTAGCTGCCTTTTCAATATAGTCCTCTGAAAGATTAAATTTTGTGTCTAAAAAATTTTTGATACTATTTCTAATAATTGGCTGGCATAAAGTATCTTGAAGTTTTTGTGTAGAGGTTTCTGACCATATATATTTTCCTGGAAATAAAATAGTATTGTCTTGCTCCTTAGCTTTATGCGAGTAACTAGCTAACAGGCCAAATGTCAGTTTACAGTGACAGTCTGACAGAGTTGATAAAAAATCAGCAACATGAAAAAATAAAGTATCTTCAATCAAGTCTTCCGACATGATAACATAGTCAACCACACTACTACCTACTGCTTTTATACAAGTGTATTTACCATAAGAATCGCCCCACATTCTTCCATTTAAAATACGTAATTTGGACGCAATACATAAGTCCAGAAGTTGTTTACCTCTTGAATCTACTTTCATATCATAACTTAATCTCTTTTCTTGAATAATATCACAACTATAATTATCATACATTGGTATATGTGTATCATTAACATCATTTATTATAAAATCTGGCTCTGACCCTGTCCTTGCATTTAAGTCCCCACACAATATAATACTACCTTGATGGCTAAAATTTATGATATCTTTTTCTATGTTTTCTAGTGTGTCATCTTCTGATTGATCAACATAAAATGAAGTAGCTGGTATAATATATGCCAAACATAGGAATATATCTGTACTTAGATTAAAATAATGTTTATCAAACTGTAACCATTGATAATCTTTACATGTATTTATCAAAATCTTGATGCCCTTGCGAACTTCATATTTGATCAAAATACCTAAGCCCCCATAGTATCTAGAGTTAGCTGATTGTGGTCTACAAATAGGGTAATAGTTAAAACCCTCAATATTGACTGTAGTGTTATAACCTACATGGGTCTCAGTTAATAGTATAACATCATATTTTCTTATCTCTTGAAGAAAAAGGGGATCTGTTATTTTATCATGATGCTTTGAAATAAGCCCACCTATGTTCCAAACACAAAATGTTATGTTGTGAAAAAAATTATTTCTCTTTTGACTGGTCATAATTGCTTTTTTAATAGTAATCTTTTAAAATTCCCTCTCACCACTGGTTAATTGTACAATAATCTTTTATTAACTTTGACAGTCAGCTTTTGGGCAGGTAATATGAATATGAAATCCTTGTAAAATAATAAAACTCTTTTCCCTCTTATAAAATAACAAACTCCTCTAACTAAGGAAAGGCAAAAATGAAATTATCTTTTTATTGTCCTATATAAATGACAATTTAAGTTTAGATAAAACAGAAAGCAAAACAAAATCTAGCTACAATTGTTTACAATATATCAAACAAAACTTAATTATAACTGGCAACTTTATCTTCTTTACTAAGAAAATCTAAATACAAATGTATCAGCATATTAAGGCTGCCCATATCCACGACCCCGACTTTGATAATTGTTATAAGTGTTATAACCGCGACCACGATATCCACCACGCCCACGATATCCACCACGTCCACGATATCCGCCTCTTGATCCGTTATTCAGGTTAACATTGCTGTTATAAAAAGGTCTACGTTTTGGTAGATCTAGTGCTTCATCAACTATATCCCGAATATTTGCTGCAAACACGTTTACACCTTGATCTGAAAGGTGATATTTATCATCCTCACTAAGAAATCTAGGGATTGCTCTGCCTTTATTAGCTAGGTTACTGTGATCACACAGATAAACTTTTTCGGTATCAAAGTATTCCTGCTTCAATAAAGCACTTATCAACTGACCTTTCATATTGAAGCTTTCGTTGTCAGCTCTAGGTGTTGGTGTAGATAAGATAACTTTTGAAGATGGATATAAATCACATGTTAAAGATATAATTTCCTTCATTTTGTTAACACAAATTTCTGCACTTTTTTCACGTAGCTCATTTGTTAAGGAGTGAAACGCAATTATATCAGGTGCATGCTCAATTTCTCGCAAACTTTTCTCGGTATCAGGTAAAGTGTAAGCAATTCGCTTCTCCATTGTAAACTTTGATGACAATTTAGATACATCAATTCTTTCAATATTTGACGTTCCAATTAATATAACATGTGGTTTGTCTGCATTATTTTGACGCAAGTTGCTTTGTGTAGATCGTCTAGTTCTTGATGGAACATCCTGAAAATGCGCTGCACCATCATCTCTACATGCATGTTGTTTGAGACTGTATAGCTCATCATCTTTTTCTTCTAATCTAGATTTCAGTTCATTGCATGAGCTTACTAAAGTTTTAAGTTTATCATCTTTCTCATGTATTGTAGTTTCTAATTTATTAATTTCAAACTCAAATTGCTTCTGTGATTTGTTATGGTTCACCTTTTGAAGCTCAGACTGAGATGTTTGCTGATCAAGTTTTGACTGTAACTGAAACTTGTCCAATTCTGTTGTGTGTTTAACCTGTTGTAATGACATCTTCAAATCAGAGTTTTCATGCTCAAGTGTATTTAATTTGTTGAAAAATTTCTGATCACATGCATATATCAACAGATGAAGCATTCCCGGGAAAAAGTAAATCTACGAAAAATGCTTCACCAAGCACAGCCTAATACAACCGCAGATGTAGATTTAGCATATAAAAACACCAAAAATTTTATGTCAGTTGAAATCAAACATATTTTAATTTTGGTCCCTTCAAACTTTAATATGGACTAATTTGAAAACAGGTATCAGGTGAGCCCGAACATTTCTATTCAGCAGCAGTCTCCAACTACATATCTCCTTTAATTTTATATGATAGTCCCATAAAAATGTTGAAAAATTATGTGTACATTTAATTTTTTTTTCTAGATTCTCTCATGTCATACATGTGAAAGCGGTACCTTTTTGGTCACTAATTATGTGTTGCGTCTAAATATGAATTGTAACACTTTATAGTGACTGACCAGGTCAAACAAATACTTCTCAAGAAACATGCAGAGAAAGAAGACAACTTGGAACAGCACCAGCCATGCTCGACTATGTATGAATAAAAACTCAGATCGGAATAGCATGGACGATATGTTAGTTATATGTCCTTGTGAATAGTAAGGAAAGCTATCAATAATTCTTATCAGGTTTACCGTACATTTTCTGTTCAAATTTTCACACAATCAGTGAATCGTTCAAAAAGGCTAAACTAACTTTTAATTACTGAAAGTTTCAAACGATGATAAGTGTTTCATTCATGAAATAACTCGTGCGGTTCTGCGAAAAAAATCATGTGCAATTTTTTGAATTAAAGGGAAAGAAGATTCTTTTGCGGTGCACTCACGCATGTCAATTGCGAACTGACCCAATATATTTTCTTTATCATGACCAGTTCATTGATACTGACGTTGACATTATCAAGAAGTACACCTCAAAGGAAAAATGCACAAATTAAGGATAAAATAATTTACACACCCTGTTTCGTGTGTATCTCCTGCCATATCAGTATTTGTTGCATTTATATATAAATGAGAAATAATCAATGTAAAAATGGTAAATTTTTGGAGAAAAAACCCAAAAATTATGGAAAAAACAACCCAAAAATGTTGTTTTTGACCACTGACTCCTAAACTGTTGGTTAGATATGATAACCCCCAAAATCAATTCTAACCTTCCTTTTATGTATTGAAAATGAAACTTCTGGTACAATTTCATACATTTACTTTAACTAAAGTTATTGTCCAGAAACCAAATGTGTCTTCGGACAACAACAGCGACATGATTGCATTACTTGAAAGCAAATTTTTGACATATTCCCCATTTCCATTCTGAATTTTATTTTGCCGTCGTATAAAAACTTGAAAAGTAAGCTAATAAAACAAAATGCAAAAATGACATAAAACTGACTCTGAATTAGTACATGAAATTGATGTAGAAACCCACAAACAGAAGATGATCAGGAATACATTTATACTGCTGAGCAGTGTTCTCCCCTCAAATTTTAAATAGCATCCTAGAAAATAGCAAAACCTTTGGATTATCAACTCAACAATCCTATTTATGGTTCCTTATGCTTAGATCAAAATGAAAATCCTGATCAAAACATTATTCTAAACAGGCTCACTGTAAATTCAAACTCTTCTTTTAACAATCAGAATGATCCTCTTGCTGATCACATATATATGAGATGCAGGAAACTGGGATCATGATATTCATGCTGTTGACTATTTTGATAAATTAGTTGATGGAAAAGCGATAATTACACAGTTAGGAGGGGTCATGTTTTTTTTTTAAATAAATTGTTAGACTCTTATTTCTTGAGAACAAAAATAATTAGTTTCAGGAAAAGCACGAACCATGAGAACATTGATTTAAAAAAAATCTTTTTCCTGTTTGTTATTGAAAAAAAACTAAGTCTGTTTTGAGATAGTATACAAACCCCTGATTTACGCGTCAGATATTATTTGTTTTGTCATCAATTACCTGTCCTTCTCCAAGAAAGTCAATTTTTTCATATCTTTTCAATTTTTCATCAATGCCCATATTTTACAGGAAATGACCAAAATCTTGCAGTTTTCGAGTGCAAGCAGGATAAGACATTGAAAATATCCGAATTTGGCTTATCCGTAATATACCGATATAGAGCTTTTGGATGGTAGAAGATTTCGTGATTTAGTTTTTACACAAGCGCTTAATTGGTCATTGCATCCTTTTTCATTCTTTTCATAGTGTTTAACATTTTTTATTTAAATTTCTTAAAAATTTCAAATTAGTTACCCTTATGTATGTGTTCTTGCTCATATGCTGAATCGGGATCCGGTGACCACTTAAAATATTGAATTCATTAAGAAAAAATTTTCACGGCAATAACATTTCATTTCATTCTTATTTTCTACGGACGGATTTTGAGAAATAGCAATTTAAAATACAAAAAACAAGTGCATTTTTCACTGCTTTTAATTGGTTGTATCTGTAAAGGTATGAGGCTACATAACAGTTTACATTTTTCGATATTCAGATAGTCAATATATATGTTCCTGATCAAAGGTACCAGGATTATAATGTAATACGCCAGACGCGCGTTTCGTCTACATAAGACTCATCAGTGACGCTCAGATCAAAATAGTTATAAAGCCAAACAAGTACAAAGTTGAAGAGCATCGAGGACCCAAAATTCCAAAAAGTCACAGTGTGCCAAATACGGCTAATTAAGGTAATCTATTCCTGGGATAAGAAAATCCTTAGTTTTTCGAAAAATTCAAAGTTTTGTCGGAGCGTCTTTTTACCAAAAAAATATAGAATATATATGTAAATGCTCAGTTCAACGATTTCTAAATGCATACAAAATTTGGTAAAAATCCGAAATATTGTTAAATGATTGAAGAAGATACACACACAACATAAGATTCCAAAAACAGTCATCGAGCTTGAACTTTTAATTGACAATTAAAAAGACACACTTATAATATGTTATAAGTCAACTCAAATATTACTGTCCTACAACAACTTTAGATATCTTTTTGAAGTTTTATATATAACTCTATAAACGGAGAAAACTTTGATGTACACACATTCGCCAATTGTTTGAACAACTCTAGATATCAGCTTAACAAATTACTTCATTAATCACTTTAATAAATAATTACGTAATGTATCTAAACATTTTCAAAAATGAATTAAAATTACAAAAAAGATTAAAATGTATTTAAAATATAAATGTCACAAAAATAAATATATTATGGTTTTAATAGCTACCTAGTGGTTTTCGGTATGATCCCAATTTATATTGGCCATTCAGTTGGGGACGTAGCGTTAATGAGTCGACCCTAAATAGAAAAATTAAATTTTATTTGAATAATGAATGTCAAATTATAAAAAGAATTAACAATTACACGATATTAATGTCTGAAGTATTATTATTTCGAAGTTCTGTGGTAAATTTTGGGTGTTCTGTGGTGTTTTGTGGTATTCTGTGGTGTTCTGTGGTATTCTGTGGTGTTCTGTGGTAAAAAGACGCTCCCAAGTTTTGTAACAGGAAATTTATAAAAATGACCATATAATTGATATGCATGTCATCACCGAAGTGCTGATAACTGGGCTGATGATACCCCCGGGGACGAAACGTCCACCAGCAGTCGCATCGACCCAGTGGTGTAAAAGTTATCAAAGGTACCAGGATTATAATTTAATACGCCAGACGCGCGTTTCGTCTACACAAGACTCATCAGTGACGCTCAGATCAAATTAGTAATAAAGCCAAACAAGTACAAAGTTGAGGCAGTTCAACGAGTTCTAAATGCATACAAAATGTCATCAAATTCTAAAAATTCACCAAATCTCAGCCTTAACATATGTTATTTGAAATACACATGCCGCTATGAAAGGTATTTCTTTGAACAAAAATACCGAACTCCAAGTTTAATTTCAAAATGGGAAATTCACATAATACCTGACAAAACCAATTCAAATGTTAATGATATCAGCCAACGGAGGGAATGAAAAATAACTGTCTTATTCCTGACTTGGTACAAGCATTTTTCGAAGAAAATAGTGAGTAAAACCTGGTTGTATAGCTAGCTAAACCTGCACTTGTATGACAGTTGTTTACAGTTCCTTCATATTGACAAATTGTGTGACGGCTTCGCTAACACTAACAGACATAATTGGGTTACGTGACAATAATTGGGATCAAACAGCGCCAATTGTGTCTGGTACTGAGAAGACCGTTGGAGTCAAATTCGAGATTTATGTCTAACAATGAGACGAAGGAAGCTGTGTCTGTGGTTTCTTTAATCTCTAATTCAGAAGGATATACCAATGGGACCAATTAGAACAATTTGGATTGTTAATGGAGAGAACATCATCAATATACCTATATGTGAAATTAAATGATGGCAGTGGCTATTTTGCCGGCGACGGCAATATAGAAAATATGCTATTTTGCCTGCTCTAATAAAAATTGATGAATCCTAAGTTTGTTTTTTGGATACTGTAAAATGGTATATTATTATTTCAATTTGATATATAACAACATACACAATACATAAAATACACACAACATTTTAAAACATTGCGGTGTCAAGCAAAAACATATAAATTGAACCTGTAAAAAAAAGTCACAATAAAAATACTGGATTCGTAAACAGGAATTTAAATTCACTTTAGAAACTTTAGCATATGTGCTTTCGGTTGTTGTGATTTATTTTATTTTGTAAAAGTCACTTAAACTTGTTTTGAACAAAATTAAATATAGCTTATAGTTGCTACTTTTACACCACTCAAAGATAGAAATCTGAAATAGCCTCACTATTTTATTCTCTCTTAGTTCTCAGCGATTCTAAAGCTATAAGAAAGTGTTCAGCAAATTCTGGTAATGTCGAATGATGATGCACCACAGACTTCACTTTATCATTGATATTTTTATTCTGTTGTTGGTTCGATTACATAGATTTCTTCCTTCCTTAAGTCCACCAACCCACTCATGTCTAATGGTGTGCCAGTTTTTTTTTATTAAAGTATGAAATAACTGACTTTGGTGATTCTGTACACAACCTGATATACAAATTTTGATACTAATTTTCTGTTTTGCATTAATTTATTTTCTGTAGTACTTTAAAAGTTCTTGTTTTCTCACCAATAGTTATCCCAAGTTTTTCAATTGATATTTCTCGTTTGAAATTTCTCAAGACGTGGATCAGACACAGTTGCAACCTAGCTTGAGGCATAGCCTTTCCTAATACATTTCTCTAACACATGTCTTTATCGGTCAACACCGTGAACCCCTACATTTTCCCATTTTTTTGTTTCTTGATATGAACAACTCTTTCACGAACAAAAGTGTATATTCATCTTCCTTAGTAAAAAGAAACTTTACAACTATTTCACTTTGTCCGTTACCTTCAACATTGACAATGAAATATAATGGCATTCTCAATTTTTTTGTTTTGTATGTACAGTCTTCCAATATAACTCCTGGGTAATTATTAATCAGGGTTCTCATATTTCTGTCCTGCAATCTATTCTCTTCAGTAACGTTCTTAACGATTGTATATGTACATAGCTAGCCGGCGACGGAAAAATAGTCACTGCCTTAAATGATCTTCTTGGTTTTTTTTACAGGTGTCTAAAGGAACTCCGACTCATTTGTAAAGGAGAGGCAATAATATCCGGTTTTCATTTTTTTGCTAGAGATTTAAACAAACATCTGTCTATTGATTAAAAATGGAAAAATCCTACAATTTCCAAAATTAATATCTACATACTTTCCACAATAAAGGTTCGAGCAATCCATTCTGTGGTAGTGCCTGCATTGGTATAGGAATTTCCAATTTAAAAATATTGTATTTTAGTGCATATCGGTGAGACAACAATTTCAAACAGTTGCAGGGTCAAATTAATTTCTTTATTTTGATCAGCTGCTGAAACATTTCTGCCAATTAAGTGAAGTGTAGAGTGGGATAATTAGTATGCTATTCCCAGTTGGAAATAATTGAAAATATTCATTCCATAAAGTTTTAATCAAAGGCGTTTGGTGCCTAGACCCCTTATTTTAAGCTCACCTGGCCCGAAGTGCCATGTGAATTTTTGCCATCACTTTGCGTCCGTCATCCGTAAACTTTTCTTCAAAAATCTTTTCCTCTAAAACTGCGAAATGGATTGAAACAAAAGTTTGTCTGCATCAATTATAAACTTTGTGATTTCGTCCAGGTTGACCAACCAACATTGCCACCTTGTCTGAAAATACAACACAAGGAAGGTGGGCAACTGCAGTTTTGGTTATAGCAACTAGAGAAGAACTAACTGGCTAAAAATGGTCGACACAACAAGTTCTATCTATACCCTGAATATTTTGGAAAAAATGTCCATTTGTTATGGAGTTATTGCCCCATAAATGTTTATTTTTAATCTTTTTGCATTTCCTTGCCATTGTTCCCAAAACTATAGGAGCTAGGTTACAAGTGTACATCGAAAAACTGATCAGCATGACAAGATGTATGCACCCTGAAATTGGACAAAAATATATTTACTTGTTTTTGAGTTATTGCCACTGAAATATCTATTTTTTCATGAAAAACATATAGAAGCTAGGTTAAAAGCGTAAATTGTAAAGGTCAGCACAATAAGATATATCTACATTGAAAATTGGAGAAAAATCTGTCCATCTGTTTTGGAGTTATTGCACCTGACATTTAGATTTTTAACTTTTTTGGCATTTCCTTTCCATTGTTTTAAAAACTATAGGAGCTAGGTTAAAAATGTAAACTGCAAAAACGATCAGTACAAGAAGATGTATCTACCTTAAAAATTGAAGAAAATCTGTCCACCTGTTTTGGAGTTTATCCCCCTGAAATAATATTTTCTTGCAGTTTGTAGCTGTTATCATGAAAAAATAGGAGCTAGGATAAAAGTGTAAATTTCAAAAATAATCAGCACAACAAGATCTATTAACCCTGAAAATTTGAAAAAATTAATAGACATAATTTTGAGTTATCGCCCCTGTAATATTTTTGCATTTTTTTTCTGTTTTTTTTTTTGAAGCTTAGTTAAAAATGTAACTGCAAAATTGATCAGCATGATAAGAGCTATCTACTTGGATATTTTTGACACCCTTTTTGGAGTAATTGTCCCAGAAATGTTGATTTTTGCAGGGTTTTTTTGCAGTTTTGGCTGTTATCTAAAAACCCATAGGAGCTAGGTTGAACATGTTTATTGCACAAAGAGTAACTATAGGATGTGCATATAAAGGTCCTAATTAGCAAACTGATGATTTTTTCACCAGGTGGGGGATACAGTCACATGTATACCTCTTGTTTTCTTTTCCCTCTTTTTTGGTGTTTTTTTTTCAAGTAAATATTGATTTATTTTTAAACTAATCTTCAATTAGTTAATGTGTTCTTGCTCTTATCCATACCATAGGCGGATCCAGGGGGCCCCCCCTTTTGTGGGAAAAATTTGGTTGATTATATAGGGAATCACTGAAGCATGACTGAAGTGGGCCCCCCCTTAGGTCAGTCAGCGGGCCCCCCCCCCCCCCTTTATGAAAAGTTCTGGATCCGCCACTGCATACAATATTGCAATAACAGTAGTTTATATATTTTGCCCCTCTATTCTTGTAGATTAGGTTTTTAGGTTACTTAAAAGTAATATGTAAAATATTTATGATTTGTACAATCATTTGCAGGTACATTTGTTGGTTTAGTGGTTACTGATATTTTTTTGATGGTTTAATTTTTGTGATAGGGTAATTTTAGAGGTATCTTAAGGGTAAAACATCAGAGTGAGTTCACATTATTTGGTATATCTTCACCTTTAAATTTCATGGTTAGAAAAGTTTTTAATTACTGTATAGGTTAAGTCTATTTGGTTCAGTTTCATTACAACAAACATGACTGATGATGGGTTCACCTGACTTTCACATCATTTCATCAATTACTAATTAACTTAGATCTAAAATTTTAATCTAATATTATTATACTGTCCCTTTTAAGGGTTAACCTTGATCTAACACATGATTTGTACTGATTGAAGTCAAGTATGCACACCAGATATTAGTAAATAAATTAATTCTTTTGTTTATTTTAATATGTTAAAAAATAAAGCTAGACTAACATTTCTTTTGGAATGATCTGTCTAACTGTAGCATCTAAGGTTTTACCCTATGAAGCAAAAAATACAAAGAACTAAGGGATTAGGCAAAACCTCTTTGCAGTCTGGGCAACAACTGTCTTGTTTGTCAGATCTGACAATTTACAGATCGAGTCCTATTCCCTATTCATGTATTGTTTTTCTTAAATTGTTTAACATTTCACAGCGGTATAACATGTTACTTTAATCATTCTTCCCTTAGATTATTTATTTTGTATTTACATTGTATCATAGATCAAATTTATTTTTTCAGTGTATGTTAACTGGTGTTAATATGTCTTTTGATTGAGTTAAGCCATTTCAATTGATATTTTATAGTGTGTCTTTCTATGTTGTGATGTTACACTATTGTTTCAGATAAGGGTGAAGGCTTGGTACCGTTAAAACGTTTAAACCCGCTGCAATTGTTTGCACCTACCCTAGTCAGGAATCTGATGTTCAGTAGTTGTCGTTTGTTGATGTGGTTCATAAGTGTTTCTTGTTTCTCGTTTTTTATGTAGATTAGACCGTTGGTTTTCCCGTTTGAATGGTTTTACACTAGTAATTTTTGGGGCCCTTTATAGCTTGCTGTTCGGTGTGAGCCAAGGCTCCGTATTGAAGACTGTACTTTGACCTATAATGGTTTACCTTTATAAATTTTGACTTGGATGGTGAGTTGTCTCATTGGCACTCATACCACATCTTCTTATATCTATTGTATGATTTTTGTCTGGATTTACATATAGATGATGCATGCATAACAGGGAATGCCTACTCTGTTGACACATCTGGTACATGTATAACAGGGAATGCCTACTCTGTTGACACATCTGGTACATGTATAACAGGGAATGCCTACTCTGTTGACACATCTGGTACATGTATAACAGGGAATGCCTACTCTGTTGACACATCTGGTACATGTATAACAGGGAATGCCTTCTCTATTGACACATCTGATACATGTATAACAGGGAATGCCTACTCTGTTGACACATCAGGTACATGTATAACATTGAATGCCTACTCTGTTGACACATCCGGTACATGTATAACAGGGAATGCCTACTCTGTTGACACATCTGGTACATGTATCCCTGTTTTTTATAGTTCTTTCCTGAGCTTTTTTTTTCTTGGTTGCTTTTAGATGCAAGTCTTGAACTTGCAGTAAGGTGTAGTGAGAGTTTTTGCTCCAAGTTGTTGAAAGCCTTACAGTGACTTTGAGATGAAGATCATCATTAATAGCACTGTTACTTTTCTTTGGTCATGTGCTCTTTGTGATTTGTCATGAATTGATACACTGTAAGCTTTCATTTCCATTACAAATTTAGAATGTTGGTAAACTACTGTTACATTTTATTCACTCATCAATACATCATGGCCTGTTGTGTTTTATTCACTCATCAATACATCATGGCCTGTTGTGTTTTCTTGAGATGTGATGACAATGATGCATGGGGCTTTTGATGATGGTGATGGATGACTGCATGATTAATGTCCAGTGGCAAATTAAATGCATATTCAGGACGAGAACATGTAAATGCAATGTGAATATGAATTATGAACCTTGTTTGGTACTAGACAGACACACAATGCCATATTTTTTAAGGGTCTAGTTCACAAGGTAACAGTCCGCAAGAAGACATATGACCCTACACCGAACACTATTCTGACTTTGTGTCAACCAGTCTATGCTCTCACTCCTTAAATGCTGCATGCTTGGCAGAGAAGTAGCAAATACCAATTTTAACATCTTTGGTTTGACCTCCCTTTTGAAACCAATTTAATAAACAATATAAAATGTTCAATAAAATGCTTTATTAAATATCTAATAAAAATCAAATTTAGAATAATAATCACTGTACATGTTATACACACTTATCTTCACACATGACTAGAAATAATTACTTTCAATCATTCATAAACTTGAGATCAATGTTCTCACACATGTCATTCATACCATTATTTGTGAAGAGAAAATTTGTGTATTTTTAGCTATAAATGTTTGTAATTTTGTGGAACATTGTTTTGACTGAACATTTAAACAAGCTCCTCCTGAACTGTTACTGTAAAGTTGGAAATTTTCATGAGAAGTTTATTTTTGCTAATTTTGTTTTTAAGATGAAATCATGAAAATATCCCCTTGCATAAATTTGGTCTTAACAGAAGATCAGAATTGCAGAACAAACCTTACCCACAGGTTAGGATCTAGAAGTTGTCAAATTAAAACTTGTCAAAAATAAACCATTTTACAGTATCAGCTCCTACAAACAGTAGGTTTATTTTTTCATCCTTTAAGACTGTTCAACCTATGGAAAATTTGTAAACTCTTATATAACTCAATCATAATACATTCTTGCATTCATTATATCTGGTATTATAAAAAATTATAAATACATAAAAACACAAGGCTGCTACAAATTAAACACATGACATCATCTAAAAACTGAATATTGTATAGTAAACACTTTAATGGCATTCATTTTTGCTATTATTATCTCAGCAAAATAATTACTGTTTTAAGGAGTATTTATTCTATCTGACGAGGTAGATGATACTGAATGGCTTTTATTAACTACAGTTATTCAAAATGGTCAATGTATTTCCTCCAAGACCTGACTTTTTTTTTAAATTTGAAGTTTACAATTTATTCAACCCTAGGGACACTTAAAATCTAATTCAATGTAAACTTTATTTTATATCTCCAACAATAGCATTCCATGTTAAGATGTAATGCCCAAAACAAAAATAACGGTATATAATTGAATGGGCAGCATCATATTTAGTTAGAATTACTGTATTCAAATTCATGTCACATTCAAATATAACTTTTACAAAAACATTGCATACATATGTGCTCCTAAATTATGGGAAAACTGCAACTTAGAGAAATACATAATTTTATGTAAAACAATTTGTATACAACATTGAGGTAAACAAATACGAGATTCATTAATTTGTCTCCATTTTGATTCATGCTTACAATACTGGCCAACTTTAAAATAAACAATATAAATGCTTCAACTTTCTCACTTTGGAAATGCAAATATCACATTTTCATAAAAGTGATAGAGAAAATTTTAATATCATTTTGGTCACTAATAATTTTCATTCTTCTTTATTCAATTATTCCATCCCGTGTATATCCATCCATCCATTCACTATTATCGTAAACATGGATGGAAAATAATTAAAATGTTACAAAAATCTAAATTTGCTGCCTATGTAAAACAAAGTGCAGTTAAATATTCAAATAATGATGTTTGTAAATCCTGACATTCAACAGATCATTCGTGTGTGATATTTACCAGATCATTTGTGTGTATTTTACATTTACCAATCATACAGACTATATGGTACAACTATAAATTAATTTTAACCTCTAATATAACTTTAATTCAAAACTGAGTCATTAAAAAATCAGGTTTTAGAATCATTTCTAAAATATTTTTAATCTGTATTTTGATATTGTTTATGTTTAAACTATTGGATATTAAATTAACCAGTCAGTGCAAATACTTTTAACTGAAGTCTTTTGGGAAGTCTGTTTTTGGTACTTTTTCCATATGAAGTATATTTTAATATAATGCTAAATACATTCATTGGCAGTGTTATAGCTACATGTACTAAGTATAAATAAAGGGACTTAATTTACAGACACATGAACAGAATATACCACAAAAATATCACCTTTAATATAATGTTCTTTATGTACATCTAAAGAAACAAATATTCTTTTTTTTCAATATAACTTAACACTTCAAAACATATTTAAGAAAGATAAAGCAATATTTGTATGGGTAATAATATTATAATATAGTCATAGTGACTTAATTAGAATAAAACCATATGTGAGTTTTATTTCATAAGATATATGATGATGAATATTAGAATGGATTTTCTGAAATGGCTCTAAGCTCAACAGAGCTGAACAATAAAATACAGATAGCAATAACTTTACTTGTAGAAAATTGACAATAGCAAGCAATTGCCCGACATTTGCAGAAAATTTTAGAATATTATGCTTAAACCTATAAAAATTTATACATATTTACATAATTTACTAAAACTATTTACATCATATTTACAAAACAATAAATAATTAAGTATATCACACAACTTTTTAAAAGAAATAACTACAATAATTTAAATAAAATAGAACCTTAGTGAGCAAGCTCATATCAACCCCATCCACAACATCAATGAAAGAGAGAAATAAAATAGAACCTTAGTGAGCAAGCTCATATCAACCCCATCCTCCCACATCAATGAAAGAGAGAAATAAAATAGAACCTTAGAGAGCAAGCTCATATCAACCCCATCCCCAAACATCAATGCAAGAGAGAAATAAAATAGAACCTTAGTGAGCAAGCTCATATCAACCCCATCATACACATCAATGAAAGAGAGAAATAAAATAGAACCCTAGTGAGCAAGCTCATATCAACCCCACCCCCCCCCCCCCCCCCCCCCACATCAATGTAAGAGAGAAATAAAATAGAACCTTAGAGAGCAAGCTCATATCAACCCCATCCTACACATCAATGAAAGAGAGAAATAAAATAGAACCTTAGAGAGCAAGCTCATATCAACCCCATCCTACACATCAATGAAAGAGAGAAATAAAATAGAACCTTAGTGAGCAAGCTCATATCAACCCCATCCCCCCACATCATTGAAAGAGAGAAATAAAATAGAACCTTAGTGAGCAAGCTCATATCAACCCCATCCCCCCACATCAATGAAAGAGAGAAATAAAATAGAACCTTAGAGAGCAAGCTCATATCAACCCCATCCCCCAACATCAATGTAAGAGAGAAATAAAATAGAACCTTAGTGAGCAAGCTCATATCAACCCCATCCCCCACATCAATGAAAGAGAGAAATAAAATAGAACCTTAGTGAGCAAGCTCATGTCAACCCCATCCTACACATCAATTAAAGAGAGAAAAATAATAGAACCTTAGTGAGCAAGCTCATATCAACCCCCCCCCCCCCCCACATAAATGAAAGAGAGAAATAAAATAGAACCTTAGTGAGCAAGCTCATATCACCCCCCCCCCCCCCACATCAATGAAAGAGAGAAATAAAATAGAACCTTAGAGAGCAAGCTCATATCAACCCCATCCCCCAACATCAATGTAAGAGAGAAATAAAATAGAACCTTAGTGAGCAAGCTCATATCAACCCCACCCCCCCCACATCAATGAAAGAGAGAAATAAAGTAAAACCTTAGTGAGCAAGCTCATATCAACCCCATCCCTCCCCCACATCAATGAAAGAGAGAAATAAAATAGAACCTTAGAGAGCAAGCTCATATCAACCCCATCCCCCAACATCAATGCAAGAGAGAAATAAAATAGAACCTTAGCGAGCAAGTTCATATCAACCCCATCCCCCCACATCAATGAAAGAGAGTTAACCTACTAAAAAAAAGATTCGGCTATCCAGGTGATGTTCATCCTGGTATACTTTATTCAAATTTGAAGAGGATCCAAAATGTATTAAGAAGATATCAAGGCAATAAAAAAGTAATTATAGACTAACAGGACAATAACATTATAACCTCTGCAACTTTCTTGCATGGGTCAATTAATTCTTAGTAGTTCAAAATACAGTTATCAGAAGCACCTGCTTCAATTTTTGAATAAGAAATTGAAAGCTTATGAAGAGGACAATTAAAGACGACCATTTGGAAAGGTAAGATATGTGGTGGATGGAAATTAGAAAATAATCCCATGAAATATAATAAGTAATAACTAATATATCATATGAACTGCACTGGTTCTACTGTCAATCTTCTTGACAGCTATTGGAAGATGTTTCATGGTGAACAGATGAGCAATCACCTTGAAGCAAACTCTCTGGTATACAGTAGTAACTGATTCATATGTCTAGAATATACAATTCATGATATGTGGTTAACAAAGTTAAAAGATATTTCTTTAGAAGCCTGAAATTAAATTTACTACATTTTGCTGGAATAAATAACCGAACCTCTTTGTAGCGGTCCCTATAAATTTCCTTTTTAACTCTGATGAATAAATTTGGTAATTAAATCAAGTAAAATTTATAATCAAATGTCAAACTTGGAAGTCTGATATACAAGAGAAATATAAGATCAATGATTTCTACATTAAAGCTTGTAATCAAATACACTGATGTTTTGATTGTCAAGTTATACTGAAAAAGCAATTTCCATTTTCAAAACTGACTTCTAACATTAACTGTTAAAATAACTGGCAATAATATACCTTATTTACAGACTTTTTCTCAGATCAAACCTTAATTCAACTCTTTTCATTAGTTCTTCAATGGAGTTAAAAAATATTCTAAAACATAACATTTCTAAAGTATCAACAAAAAAATATATATACAACTTTCTATAAATACATAGCTTGTCTTCTAAATGAATGGAATGAACACTAACCAATAACAAAACTGGGTAAAACAAAAAATAGTCCAACAACAAAATTATGAGTATTTGGTGCAGTTACCGGTTACTTTTGACTTAGTTATTTATATGTGTTCTTCAATTTTGTTTCTTATATATATTGCACCACATGTAAAAAAAAATATGTTCAAATCTTTTATCTGTTTCTTTTAATATGAAATATAAAATAAAAGAATGCTGTGTTCCTAACAATCAAAAAGATCTAAAGATTTTCTATTTCATTTGAAATTTAAATGTATACATAAACCTTATAGCTAAAACAAATTTTAGATGAAGGGTCTAAACCAAAACACTAACAATTATATTTAAAAAAAACTGACGTCTTCCAATATTTGGTTCTTTAAAACTTTTTGAAGAATTGCATGTTTTATTGGTGAAATACAAACATGATGAAAAATGAAAAAGTTACAAAAATGGGCCATAAAAATATACAAAATAAAATACAGACTCAAAACAAATTTATAATAAATATAAAAGACATTTTAATTACAAAATTTAAATAATATCAATGTTTGTTATATAGCACCATTTTAATATCTGTGGATTTCATCACTACACTGCTCCTGTAAATACTGTCTTTGTTCCTCACACAAATCATCCCTTGAAAGACAGCAATGTTAAAAAAAAATTGCACTTTTTCAATTTTTTAGTCCTTTACTGCTCTATAAATTAGAATAGTTTTTACTGAAACTTTCTTGTCATTTTGTTTTCTTTCTATAGATATATCATCAAGATATATTCAATGACGGTGAAATAAACTCCACAAAATCCAATAACCTTTTAGGACTATTTGCACTGCCAGCAAACCATCTTATTGATTACTTAGTATTTTTATACTGAGTATCATATTGGTTTTCTGAGATTTCTTCCTTTGGACGGAAAATCTTTATAGCAGTGATACTGTTATATAAATATTAGAATGGAAATATATACATGAGAAATGAGATATATACACGTCGTGGAGTGAGAATTCTTCCATGAGTATTGCTGAATGTGTATCATCTTCTAAATTCCTGAAATAGAAAAGAATTGTCTGAGTAAAATTATAAGTTAAATGTGGTAACTTTAATAAATGATTTATAAATCATAAAGTTATAATTCCTTGAGAAATACTAGACAACAGTTGCTTGCATTGAAATTCATAATAAAAAAAGCAAGAAACAAAAGGTAAGTTTCAACACTATAACACAATAATTACACAATATTTTTATGAAAAACCCTTTCTAAAAATGGTTCTCCATTTCCAATTTCTCTTCATATTGAATTCATCAACAATTAAATGAGGATATTTTTATGTCCCAACCGTGGTGGAAGGGGCATTAAGTTTTACCCTTGTCTGTCTGTACATCCATCCGTCTGTCCGTCCCAAATTAGTTTCCATTCTTGAACTTTAGTTTGCCTCAACCAAATATTATAAAACCCATACACAATGCTTATTACCACCAAACACAGATCAAGTTTGAATTTGGGTGGTGTCACTTTCACTGTTCTCTTGTTATGTCTCTTTATAAATGGAAAATTACTAAATTTGCTGTTTCCACACTATAACTTTAGTTTGCCTCAACCAATGTTAAAAAAATTATACACAATGCTTATTACCATGCCAAACACAGATCAAGTTGAATTTTGGCGGGGTTACTTTTGCCATTCTTAAGTTACCGGTATGTCCCTTTGTAAATTGAAAAATTGCATAATTTGCTGTATATTTTCAAGCAGGGCATCTGTTAAAGGCTCATAATTTCTTATATTACTGTGGAAAGATTTCATCTAAGGTTATACAATATAAAACTTTTTTCTTCAATGAGGGGAAGTCATTTTCCAACGTTTTTCTTAACGAGTGTTTTGTTTTTATTGTTGATTGATTAACGATAATACAGAAGCAGGATTAATGAAAGAGTGCTCTTACCTCCATCATCAATGTCGTACATCCAATTGAAGACCAAAGCTTACATCTGGTGAGCATGTTCCACAATGTCCACCACAAACCCCTTGTACAACTTCTCTATCCTACAATAGTCAATTGTCTTTTTTAGTATACTCATTTTCACTTTTTCAAATCATCCATTTAAAATTACCACAACACAATGGTTGTTAATTGTTTGATAACAAGTTTAATACCTTCAGCTTAAGTCTTCTTATTATATTGTTTTCATAGCAAATACTTTCTGAATATTTATATCTTGTGTGTAATTTCAAACCAGCATCAGCTTTTTGTGGTTTTCAAGATGCCAGCAACAAAACTTTTAGTTTCATGTGTTATTAAGCCAATGAAACTGATGTAAAACAGAATAGTATAAATTTTTATGAGTTGGATTTAAGTTACATTTTCAGAAGTGGAGCAGAAGTCATCTATCCAAAGAGTTAGGTTAAATGGGACAGACTAAGACTCTACTCTAGAATACCACAGTTTAGTCCATTTTATTGAAGTTAATAAAAATACAGTAGAAGTCTAATCTGAAGTTTCAAAGTTTACCTTGTTTTGATGTACATATTTCATATTTCTATGGTTGATTTTTTTTTAAGAGTTTTGTCCATTTTTGATTACTGTTATCTGTTGTCAGAATTTGATCACTAATTTTTCAAATGTAGTTTGGATGTATTTTTCTTGCTCATAACCTATTCCCCTATACTTACATTGAGTATTTGTATAGATTTTGAGGTATGTTTTCCATATGACTTCCATGTGGTATTTTTAGACACCAGCAAACCAGTACCAGATAAGTTGATACTGAATCTACCCTGAAATGATAAGACTTGGGTGTTACACATTTACTAGCAAATAAAATGTCACAATCAAAATTTAAACATTTCTATAAAGAAAGGCAACAGTAGTATACCGCTGTTCAAAAGTCATAAATTGATTGAGAGAAAACAAATCCGCACTACCTTCTATAGTAAAAAAAATGTGTTGGTCTTTGTTAGAGTGTTGCCAGCTGTCTCCAAATAATATAAGCATTATATTTTTTGCTCTCCTTCAGTACTATATATTTTGTTGATCTCAAGTGACAAAACTTATGACCAGCTCAGACTTGGGAAAGAAAGAGAAGATTTAGAATATACGGACGTAAATATACGGACGTAATGACTATGTGCTTGGTTAATTACCTAAGCAAAGAACCTTCTCGTCTTACTACAAAAAAGCATTATATGATATACACACTCATAAAAAGGGGAAATATCTATCATTTAGTGAGTAGATTCTTAAACGACAGTAACTGGTCCTTGTAACCATTAAATTTCAAGACAAAATTGACACACTGGTATAATGATTTTCTTCGTTTATAAGATGATTTAAAGATTGAGTGCGTGGTGTTAAACCTAACTTTTGGTAACCCTTTTTATGGTAAAAGAATATTTTCAACAGGAGTTCCTGTAAAAAAATATTTGAGAAAAACTATGAATTTCTGACGGTAACTGGTACCAGAATATATAGATTGGTTGATTCTGATGCTATAAATTTAAGGAACTAGATGCTATTTCTAAATTTCATCTATGACAAGAAATAATTTGAAATTTTTTGAAGAGAACTGAGATACATTATTTGTTTCAGTAATATTGTCGAAAAAATGCAAGTTAAATAAAAAAAGTAAAGCTTAATGTTATCATTTTCAATGTATCTGTATTTACCTGTGGGCAATGATTCTTGGAACTATAACAGTCACCAGCAGATGCAAAAGGAATGTATTTTCCACTATGGGATGTGGCAAATGATGTATCTGTGGCTGCAATATACAATGTTTATCAATAATCATATGAAGTTAGGTTTCTCTTTCAAATACCTACCTAGTCCATTTACAGTTTTTTTTTAAAGAAAGTTAGAAAAAATATGTTACATCTTAGTACTAAATTTCATATAAATGAAATATATATAGGTATGCTGTATTGGAAAAAAATACAATTGTACAAGTCAAGATAATATGGTCCAGTATCAATGTTCAACCCCATTTCACAATGCACAGGATTTTCATACAAATACAACAATTGGAAAAAGATGCATAATGTATCAGAAAGACATTTGTTTTGAAACTGAGATGAACTTCTAAGAGAGTCTGCCATCTTTGAAAAGTGTGGTCAATGATTTGACAAATTCTACAACTGAGTATTCAAATTACATGTTTCTGTCAAGCTATATTTATTCTGACCATTTCTATGTAGTAGATTTTATAACGAAAACACATGTTTATAATAATAGAACATTATATATATTATTTAGTACTTACTGTTGACTATCATTGTCTTGAGATCTAGGCGAAGTTTACTATATGATGTAAATCCTGCTAATCGGTAAGGTGAAATCCGGAATTTGGAACTATCATTTTCTATTCTTGATCCATTATTTGGACATGTCCTTGACCTTTTCAACCTAGAAAAATTTACATTTAGAGAATAATTAGTTAAACTAGTGATGATAAAGTGACTGTCAAGTTGGAAAAAAAAAACAAAAATAGTACTAGTGGCCTCTCCCACCCACCTGCCTCCCTAACCCAAATCAATAACCAAATATTAATCAGATAAACCCAGTTAACAATCAAATAAAGAACTGAATAATAATCCATGACAGTTTTAAAAAAAAAGTTGCTTCCTTGTCTTAAATAATGGAATAGAATAGTTTTAAAGTTAGGTAATTAGAAAAACTTTTTAGACTCAAGGTATCGGGTATCAAAAATCTTACCTCATATCATAAATTTCAGCATAGTTATCACTAGCTCCAGCAGGTAATGTTATATACTCTTCAGGTTTATTGCTTTTCATATTTTTACAGAAAACCTGAAAAATAAAATATTGAGTTATCCCTCTTTGTTCAAAGGACTGACACATGAGAGCACATCCAATATATATCTTTGGAAATAAAGATTGGTTAACAGAATGACAGTAGCTTAGCATAACATGCATATTCAGGACAAGGACATTTAGATGATATGATTACATGATACTTGGAACTGACATGCTGACATGCTGAGCTACTAAAAGAGAACAGAGGTGTCAATTGATATGATATTTATCAAAATTGAAATGTAATTGTTATGTGACTGAAATAGATCAATCTTACCTGCAATATTCTTCCTTTCACCAATATACTGTACATATCATCATGTCTTATTGATGTTTTATCTTTCAACTCTAAACAGGACTTAGCATAACCTGAAAATATTAAATTCATGATACAATAAATTATAAACACATGTCTGCATAGAAATTTTAAAAACATTGTACTTTAGTCACCAACATATGTAGACCTAAAGTAAATACATTTGAGTTACTGGTAACCTACTTGGCCCTAATCTCCTACTTGGACCCTAATCTTCCAATTTTTCCCTACCCTAAATATTTTAGTTCTTTTTTCAACTTAATATTAAGGCCTGAAGACCTTCCTTATTAAGAAGATATTTAAGTATTCCCCAAAAAGTTGATTGATTGATTGATTGGTATTGAACACCACTTTCAGCACTATTGTGCTATTTCATGGTGGTCAGTTTTTATTGGTGGAGGAAGCCGGAGAGGCCAGAGAGAACCACGACCTTAGGTAGGAAAACTGAATTTCCTAGTCAACTAAGATTGGAGTCAAGCGCACCTGCCATGTACCTGCTGGATTCGAACTCGCAACCTCAGTGTCGACAGGCTAGTGATACAGTATTTAGACTACTTAGACAACTCGGCCACTAAGGTTCTCCAAAAAATCGAAACATTTTACCTACCTACATAACAAAGGCTTGCATCTGTGTACATTTAATAATTTTATCTATATATATATATGTTCTCGAAAAGAACTGAACAAAATCTTAATGCTAATATGTTTGTATAGGTAGCATTCAATTTTTCTAGTGAGACAAGTTATACATACATGGACCACTATAACAATTTTGTCTTGACTCAGGCTTTAGATCTCTACGACATCGTTTTCTTGATCTCCTTCTTCCTTGTTTGTCAACACATATAACTAATCTCATTTCTTTCCCCCATCCACAACGTGAGGAACACTGTAATAAGAAATACATATACTTACATTCTAATATGTGTTTTAAAAAGTTTACAAATTTTGTACATACAGATTAATTTGTTGAATAAAACATATAAGAGATAAACAACAAATATTTAAGGCTGAAATCACTTATTTATGTCATTATTGATAACCAATTTCAAATAAGTTATCATTCAAATGTGCTGACAATCCAATGTTATTATTAAGTAGAATTGACATTGTTGTTTTTAAAATTTACCCCAGAACAGTTAACCAGTGGTTACAGGTGTTATATCAAATATTGGTAATCTAATATAAAGTAGATTAATTGGGAATATTTTCTCATTAAAAAGTACATTTTATTTACAAACAACTATCTTTTAAAGTTCAATGTATTATATATAATTAAATAATATGGGCTGATTAAAATTACATTCACCCTTTCAGTAACCTATCACTTAAGCTTATTTATAATTAAGCCCCTTACTGCTAAAAGAACTAGCAAATCCAGCACATTGCTGATTTAACTGAGACAATGTAATCATTACCAATAATATGCCGAATAATCTTTGATCTTATTTTGAATTTCACAATGACTTAACAACTATAGGTGCCAAAAATGTAACATTTAAAAACCACACTGTAATAAGATTTGAAGACATAAGTTTTAGAAATCAAAAGTTAATAAAATGGCTAGTGGCAATGATTACTGTTTAAAATTCCTGATCTAATATCTACATTTATCTAACTAAAACTAAAGTCAACATTAAGTTATCTCCCTTTCACTGTAAATAGCTATTTATACTTACAATAGAGTTGCTAATAGACTAATAATAATTCTATAACAAAAATATTAAATCTTCTGAAAGATGGCATTCAAAAAAGTTAGTGGGTATTCAGCATTTCTACAAGGAATTCCTGCATATATGCTATCCTTTATATGTTTGTCTTAAACATTTAAATGAACAATCTGAAAATTAAAACCTCTCTCATCTTATCATAAAAAATGTTAGTTCCACAACTTGCATAGGCAATTAATTGTAATTTTATATTATAAGCTCCTGTTAAGAATTACTAAATAAAACTTTGTTTTTTTGGCTGCTTACCTTTCCCCATGCTCCTACAACCCATCGATAACCATCACAATTGCCTAAGTTACATTTTTGAACTCGCTGTGGCTCTTCCTCCTTTCTACAGCCATATGGTACTTCTCCAGGTAAAATCCAGCCTTCTTTAGTCACAGCCTGACAAACAACCTGTCTTTGTTGTGCACCTTCATCACAGGTTTTGTCACACTTTAAGAAAAAAATCATAACTTGTTAAATTATCAAATAGTACTTCCACAAATGACACCTTATCCCCTTGCCATTTTTACATACATCAGTTTGACTGAATTTGGACCCTAGTACATGTAAGGCCTAGTCAAAGTAATTGAAGGTGTCCAACAAGATTACTAATAGATCTGTGAGTATATATAGAAATGAAAAAAATAAGGATACTCATGCTTGTTTTCACACAAGAAAACTATTTGCTCACTTTTTTCAATTGGTAATACAGTGGAATCCCCTTTCAAAGATACAGATTCAAATAAAAGAACAGAGTTCCAATGTCCCCCATTTTGCACATATCTTATCTATCCAAGGAACAAGGGCAATAACTAAAAAAAGCACTTTTTGTTGTTCTTTAATACTTTTTATTAATATCTTAAAGAAATGAAGGCTTCAGAGCAAATGCAATGTGATTTCCATTAAAATTAATGTTTCCAAGGTGCATAAATATTTGATAAGAACATATATTCGAAAGTGTCAAAGACATTGCCGATATAAACCTATGATATAAGTTTCAAAAATTCTGGCAAGAATTGAACATATGAGAGTGCTAACAATGTAATTTTCCATATAATCAATATTTCCAAGGGCCATATATTAAACTCTTTTAAAAAAGTCGATCGTCACCATTATAGAACTTGTCCGAGATATTGCTGATATTAACCTATAGTATAAGTTTTATAAAAATCTGGCAAGAATTGTTCCTGTGGGAGCGCTAACAAGACACACGGACGGACGGACACACACACACACGGATGGACACCCTTTATTTCTATGTCCCCTGCAAAAGCGTGCGCGGGGGACAATAAAAGTGTAAAAAAAATATTTATACTAATCCCTGCATTTGAAGATAAATTAATATATTATGGCAATGTTAGTAAGATCTTAGAAAATATTTTGGTTACTTGTTCATGCTTTTTCAGGGATAATACCTGTAAGTGTTATGTTTTAGTCAATAAAGGGGAGGTATTCACTGAAGTTATATCATTCAGCAATGAAGTAGCCCAAATTAGAGTTATATCATTAGGTTAGATTTTTACCGTAACATGTAAATCAGTGGAATACGCTAGCCGAGGGGGATCAAGAATTAAGCTTTGGAAATGGAAAGTTATTTCATTAGATTTTCTCAACTTGTTTGGTAAATATGATCAAAATCACTGATGAAAGTCTAGCCTTGATCTCTCAGACAAGCTCATATTCTAGAATATTTTCTCTTTGGTCTAAACAGACTTTAACATATGCTGAGCATGTTTTTTGCTCTTCAATGCTTAAAGCTTCATTCTTAAGTGAAAAATAAAAAATCTTTATTTGTTTACAGGTAACAATTTCTTGAAAATCCAATGGGAAATTCTAACAGGACGCTGGAGAAAAAAGTTTTAAAATGAATTGCATTGTATACTTAGAAATTTATCATTGTCAACATTTTTCTACCTACTTATCAATAGTACATGTACTATCAAATTACCCTGAATTTCTTTTTTAAATATTGAAGATTTTAAAAAAAATAACTACATTTTGACCAACATTCTATTTATTGAATTAAAATGTTTCCTTTAAACCATATTAAAATTTGGACATGTGGTATAATTACCAATGAGACAACTATCCACAGAGTACTGAATCGTAAAAACTGACTTACAGAAGTGTTCCAGCATTTAAATGGTACAGTTAAATCTATCTTACAGATGACCTACAGAAGAGTTCCAGCATTTAAATGGTACAGTTAAATCTATCTTACAGATGACTTACAGAAGTGTTCCAGCTTTTAAATGGTACAGTTAAATCTATCTTACAGGTGACTTACAATAGAGTTTCAGCATTTAAATGGTACAGTTAAATCTATCTTACAGATGACTTACAGAAGTGTTCCAGCATTTAAATGGTACAGTTAAATCTATCTTACAGATGACTTACAGAAGTGTTCCAGCATTTAAATGGTACAGTTAAATCTATCTTACAGATGACTTACAGAAGTGTTCCAGCATTTAAATGGTACAGTTAAATCTATCTTACAAGATGACCTACAGAAGTGTTCCAGCATTTAAATGGTACAGTTAAATCTATTTTACAGACGACTTACAGAAGAGTTCCGGAATTAATATGGTACAGAAAAATCTGACTTACTGAAGTCCAAGGTGAAGTGTTCCAGAAATAAGGACATGGAAATTCGCTACAACGTCTCTTGACTTTAGGTTTTGTACGTCTGTCACAGCGACTGTCAGGAACATGATAACCATCACGTCTTACACATTTCACTCTCCGTGTTTTCATACCAAAACCACATGTTTGAGAACACTGTAAAAAAAATCACAAAAATCTTTTATTTATTATGATAATAATGCATAGTGATAGAAATTTTCAGTCTCTTACACAATTTAATTCCAGCTTTAAGCAGTCCTTCCAAGTTATTTGAATAAATGTTTCAATGAATTTGTTTTTGTGGCAAACAGTGTTTTCTGAATATTCTATATAAAGGAAAAATAGTCAAAAACAATTAACTTATCATGGTCATTCAGTAGTACATACACTTTTAGTTTAGTACATTCAACTATAAATAGGTTAAGCCATTTCATAAAGGCTCAAAAAGTATAAACCTAATAATATATATGAAAATCATTGTTCATCTAATAGTTTAGTTTCCAATTAACTATCTTTCTCAAAACTTTCCCCAGTGACAATCTTTGCTTACACTGCTTTAAAAGATACCCACATAATGCTTTTTAATCCTAAAACTAAGATGTTGTGTTTTGATCTATGAAAATTTTGGGACAATATTGTAATTTATGTCATAAATTCTACTTGAGAGTGTTAAAAAGGATTTTGTTCTTAGCACTTTTAACCAAATAAAAGTAACTGGTGAGAAATATCACTGATTAAAAAAATCTGTAAATCGGTTTTTTGGTCATATCTATGATGACATTAAAGAAGTCGTCAGACCTTGATAATTACAGACCTAAATACAGTCCAGACATGTAATTATATAAAGATATCTATTTCACGGACAGCAATATATTTCATGTAGTAACCAAACATTAAAAAAAATATGATATATTTCTTCACTATATCATAAGTTTTCAGTTTAGTTTATTACCTACATAAAACCAAGAGGAATTTCAATGTTTGTAAACTCAATATCTTTGTGTTTATACTTCTCCTATAAACAACCCACCTAATGCTGTCAAAATGAATCTAGAAGTTACATAAACTTCATGTATATATGATTCTCAAAAACTGTCATTACATGGCTTATCTAAATTAAAGGCAAAGCAGATCATTTTATTTCTTCTAAACAATTTCCACTGTCAGTATATGATAATTTGATCTTAAATTACCTTGATTGTTGAGCCTGATTTAGGACCAGTATGTGATGGACATTTGCCTGGCATACTGACTTTGGACATTTGCCTGGCATACTGACTTTTTTATGTTGAATCTTTATTAACTACTGACACAGTAACCAATTTAAATGATAGATTTTTGTATTATGTCTTGTTGGGTGGCACACTTTTTACATATGTCTATGAAAACAAGCTCTTAATGGCTTAATCTTCAAAGGCTTAACTTAAGATTAAAGTTCAACTTAAATGTTTTAATCAACACATGTATGACATTTCATTGAGCTTAAATAGTAATTCTTTTATTCATGATAAAATATCCCTTTTTAGTTTTACCATTTAGAAATAAACAAGAATTCTTATGATTATTGATTTGTATATGAGATATGAAATATGAACTAAATGTTATAATGATAAATGAATAGAGGCCTCCTATTTCATAATCTATTAATAATTGTGATAAGAAGGTCAAGATGAATTGTTTAGGTCAAGTACTCAGATAGCACATCTTGACTACTGATATATCACTTCGTAAGTGGAATTTTGTACTAACGTCAGAAAACAACGATATGTAAAGTGGGCTGATACCCTTTTAACCAGGTCCTTTGAAAACAAAAAGTATGACTTCGTATCTTGGGTGGACCTATGAACAGCATGACATAAAACGTATGGAAAAGATTCATCAGAAATTGTTTATCTTCCATGGTTTAGGTGCACTCTGAAAAAGCTAGTCTTCTATGAGGTTCAAAATGTAGACTACACCAGGGAAAAACTAAATGCATTTCTCTAAAGTATACAATATTCAAGTATATACATAAAACATGTATATTACAATTCATGGATTAGCTGGTGCCCATCATTTAGAGCAAACATTTATTTCCTTAAATAAATCCACAATTTTTTAATTACCTGTGACCATTTATCAGTTTTCCAGTAATAGTTGGAACAGGTTTTCCTCTGACATGTTCTAAGAATTCTTGGTTTCCTTTTTCCTTCACATAATTTTGGATCGACTGTCTGATACCTTTTAACTTTACAAGTGATGTTTCTAACTCTAATGCCTTCTCCACAAGTTACTGAACACTGTAATATTATGCAAGATGTTATGACTGAAAATAACATACTATAAAATCGTACATTTAGGCTGGTTGATATTTTGTGTAAGGAGATGTTGTATGGAAATTATTGAACAAAGTTCAAACTTTCTCTCAAACTATTCAAAGTAAATAATAATTAATAAACATTTCAAGGGAAATTTTAGAACATTAGAAATGAACAAATTAAAATTATAAAAATTGTATTATAAATATTTATAAGTATACTTTGAATACACTGCAAATGCTTTAAATATCAACATGGTTTTCAAAATAGTCTTTCACCATTATCTTGGATGATCATGATGATTGCAGAAGGGACTTTCAATCAAATGATAAATTCTTGGAGAGCAAAACAACTATCTATTAAAGGAGTCTGTTTGTCAATACTAGTATTATATTAAACCACAATGACTATTATGATGCTAACAGTTTCAGACAGTCTCTATGGACTATATTTAATTGATTTCCTAGATCTCTTTTCACATAAAATACAAAAATTAAAAAAACTTAAAAACCAAAGTTATCACAAACTTAGAATCAATGACAACTTCTATAATCTGGTAAATTGAAGCCACAGATTTTTGTGAAAAGGGATACAACCATGAATACCCTATTTCCTTCTCAACATACCTTGCTCCATTTATCTCCATACCATCTTGGACATCTACCCATGTGACAGTATTGTGATTCTCTAGGTTTTGTGCCATGACATTCTGTGTCTGGATGATGATTGCCTTCTTCGTCTATACAAGTTATCTCCCTTTGTTGATGGCCTCTTCCACAACTTACTGAACACTGCAAAAAAAATAACGAATAAGATACATCACTGGATTTTTTAAGTTTTTTTTATTTCATTCATATACATCTTTGTAACTGTACAAGAGATTCAGAATGTTGTTTTTTTGGTAATGTGTTGGTTACAAAATTGTGATACTGGGCTATACCATTCGACCAATGGACACATTCTTTGTACATAGACAAACTTAAGTATTTTGAAAACTTCCAAAACTTACCTGTAAAATAGAATCTGACTGGATACCAAAAATTTAATTTGAAGGTTATAGCTCTAAATAAAAGAAAAAATCACATGCATTTGTACATAACCTTCAAGCATGAGGTAGATCAAAACACCAATGCCTTCAAATCTTTATAGACTAACTGTATTGTATTTGTATATACATGTGTTGTCAAAGTCAACCTTGAGTTTACATTCAAAAATAGGTTTTTTTCAGCTTGGTTGAAGCATAACTGGAAAAAATGAATTTGGAAAAGAGATAATTTTTTTTAACAAGTTTTATAACAACTTTAATGTTATAGTCATATACATATATAAAAAGAAATCTAATATATTTTGGTTTTATAGAATTTTCAATTATTGTTTTAAGGTTATAATGGTGGGAAAACATTCATAATCAGAATCAATATCAAACTTCCTACTAAATAAAACACATCTGAACTAATCCAAATTGATAATAAATTGCTGAGTTGCATATTATCTGCCAGAATAATCTATTTCTGACAATGGAGGATGACCACAAAGAAACAAACAATCTCCAGCTTAACACCTATACTTGTTCTCTCTATCTTACAACAAACAAATAATCACATGTTTTGGCAGATATCAGTTCTCTCCCCTTTGAAGTCCTATCATTGTTATCAATGATATGATCATATAGGAGGTCAAACTAAATGATAGGATGCCAACCTCTGGTAGTATTGTCCACTTAGCAAAAATGATCACAATAGGATGGTCAGTTAAAATGATTTAAGTAGACAAACCAATCACAACACTTAAAAGATATCTTTGAGAACATGACAATTCACAAATATAATGCCTGGAATCAATCACGATTTGCCTATAATAATGCTTTTGCAACAAAATACATATTTGACCAAATATGGTTAAGATAAAGAAAACATAAAAAAAACCCAAATATTTCTAACAGACACTTATCCTAAAAATACATGAAAAAGTATAATTTCGTTTGTTATTCTTAATAATATTTTCTTATATAATTGTCTTTATAATAATTTCTGATGTTGCAAGGTAAGTATTGAAACTTTTGGTCCAGAGCGATCTGCTGGCTGCCTCTTTGTCTTTGATTGGCTAACCTCACTCAAAAGCTGTTTAAAGTAAACCAGTATAATAAAAACAAGTTACAGACTATGTTCTTGGACATCATCTATTGCTCTCAAATCCAGTCAAAAACTATACAAAGTTTACTGCATACTGAACTTAAACCATTAAAGAATTCTATCATGTAAGTAAACAGCAGGTACACCGAGTACAATTTTTGAATGCCACTTTCCAGATTATATTTTGCATGCAATTTTCATAATACAAATGGTCACCAATCCCTTTTTTCCAGACATTGTATGATTCAAATCATTTATTCTTACACAAATTGAATGTTTTTTTGTGGAGAATATACCAAAACACACCAGAAACAGGTGACTACTTTGTCTGGTGTGTAAAGAAGCGAAACTGAAGGAAGCTGGGATGAACACTGACAAGTATTGAGGTTAAACTAGGACCAGATCACAGATAAGTCAGACTTACAAAAAATGCATACTTTAATGCACTTTAATTAGGTGTGTATCGTTACATAATCATTAAGAAGACATAAACATGGTATAACTGCCAACCAGAACTTGCTTAATAACAGCAATAGATACCACATTTCTTCAGGTGTATACAAACTGTTCTGTCAATTAATAAATTCATAGATATCTAGTACATTGGGTAAATGCTATCAGTCTTTGTAGGAATTCATTACTAGACTGATTTGCAACACTTTTTGACATTATAAAGATTTTTATAAATAATACATAAGGTTGTTTCTTGTTGCAATTTTCGGAAGTCAACTCAATTTACAATTAAAAAAAAATTAAACAAATTGTTTACAAATTATATATTGACTATGATTATTTTTTTACCAGTAAAAAAAGATCAGGGTCATTATTTACTTTTAGACTGGGGTAACATTTAGACAGAAAATGACAACCTATCTGTTTTCATATGTTTATTTAACCACAGTTTGTGGTCAAGTTAAATTAGTTTGTGGTCAAGTTAAATTAATTTGTGGTCAAACTAAATTTATTGCTAATTTCTAAAGATGATAACCTGGTATGACAATGTAGGTTATTGTTCTTATTTTCCTGAACAAGTCCCAAACTCTGATGAAAAAAATGAGCTGTAGTTCCTGAATTAATATACATGGAATATTTCTCAGTATTTCATGTGACTATTCTGTCCTCTTCATTATACATCTGAAATGTCTATATTGGTCAACAAGTTATACAGATTGAAAGCAAACTTCATGGAACAATTGAAACTATTAATTAATTTTAGAAAACATTTTGCACCTGTATTGATACAAAAACAGCTGATAAAATTTTATTGCTACAAGTTTTGTTATCAACCAGATGCTGAAAACTACACTCAACACTGCAAAATTGCAAAAATACTACAAATTCTTGGAATTAAAAAAAAATTGAAATTGGGTTCAACCTGACACATAGTTTAAAACAAATGCAGACATAAAAAACAAAAGAAACAATCTTTGTTTTTCTCCTGTAGATCACTAATTATCAATCTGCTTTAATGACAGCTTGTACTAAAGAAATGCATTTTAAGTGTTCTTTATCTAGTAAATTAACTTGTATCAATGCCTACGATTAAAAGATGGTTAAAAACGTTTGTTCTATCAAAGTCTTTGGATAAGAGAATCAGTGAATTGTAACCAAATCTGCTGTTTCGCGTGCCACACGGAGATAATACTATATGCAGCCATCTGTAGGACCACACCAAGAAACAAGAGGCTCTCAAGAGCCTGAATCGCTCACCTGTATTTCAGAGGAGAAGATTTTTAAATGTTAGCAAACTTGATGAACAAATTGTGTAAAATTGTCTTTAAAGGGCAATAACTCCTTAAGGGGTCAATTGACAATTTTGGTCAGATTAACTTTTTTGTAGATCTTACTTTGCTGAACATTATTGCAGCTTACAGTTTATATCTATCTATAATAATATTCAAGATAATAACAAAAAACTGCAAAATTTTTTTAAAACTACCAATTTGGTGGCAGAAACCCAACAATGGGTTGTTCGAATCGTCTGATAATTTCAGGGCCAATAGATCTTGACCAATTGAACAATTTTACCCCATGTCAGATTTGCTCTAAAAGCTTTAGTTTTTGAGATATAAGCCAAAAACTGCATTTGACCCTTATGTTCTATTTTTAGCCATGGTGGCCATGTTTGTCAATGGATCAAAACTTCCGAGTTAAAGTTTGAAGGTAATTGGCCCAATAGTTTCAGAGGAGAAGATTTTTAAATGTTAGCAAACTTGATGAACAAATTGTGTAAAATTGTCTTTAAAGGGCAATAACTCCTTAAGGGGTCAATTGACAATTATGGTCTTATTAACTTTTTTGTAGATCTTACTTTGCTGAACATTATTGCTGTTTACAGTTTATATCTATCTATAATAATATTCAAGATAACAAAAAACTGCAAAATTACCTTAAAACTACCAATTTGGTGGCAGAAACCCAACAATGGGTTTGTTCGATTCGTCTGAAAATTTCAGGGCTGATAGATCTTGACCAATTGAACAATTTTACCCCATGTCAGATTTGCTCTAAAAGCTTTGGTTTTTAAGATATAAGCCAAAAACTGCATTTGACCCCTATGTTCTATTTTTAGCCATGGTGGCCCTGTTTGTCGATGGATCAAAAAAATTTATAAACTAGATACCCTAAGGAACATTTAGTTAAAGTTTGAAGGTATTTGGCCCAGTAGTTTCAGAGGAGAAGATTTTTGAAATAGTTTACGATGACAGACGACGACGGACGCCAAGTGATGGCATAAGCTCACATGAGGCCCTTCGGGCCCTGGTGAGCTAAAAAGAAGCTTAGTTTCAATGTAAAATACAATAAACAAATCATTGAAAGAAAGAATATCTTCCAAAGTTGGATATTAAATTATAAGCCAAATGGAATGCAAGAAGGCATGACAAAAATGTACATTGACTGCATAGTCAATAACATATAAAAGACTTCTATCATTCAGAATTTCAACCCTCAATTCATAATTCAAATTTAAATAGTTTTTCTTATAGTCCTTTAACTTTATAAAACCTCTACCCTCAATTAATTAAATTCTAACAGCTTTTTTTCCCACAGATACTGGTGACCATTCTTACAGTAATCACTAGTCCCATTTAAGATTCTGTGACAAATATGAAAAGTATTTATACTAATATCTATACCACAACTTATAGTACAATTGAAATTCAACTTCAAAGCTGTCTATGAATACAGACTTAGAACACTACATATATTATGAGGAGCTACGGTACTATTGGAATGATGCGTGTGGTAATAGAGAGGGGTGTGAAGATCAGATGATTCACTGTTAAATCAGAAGAAAAAGAAGCTGTCTGATGAGACGGTATATGTGTCAGGCAAATTATAAGGTGCAGACAGCTATTCAACCCAATCTTCAATATGTGCATGTTTTAATTGTTAAAGTATTGCACTTCCTTTCCTGTATGTTATTCACAAGGTGTAAAATGCAGATCTGGTAGTGTTGCACTAGTACTAATACCAAAGACTATCTACAGTTTGGCAGTGTTGCACTAGTACTAATACCAAAGACTATCTACAGTTTGGCTTACTGTCATTTGTGGGATACCAATTTTTGTTGATTTTGTGGATACAGGTGAACCATGAATTTAAATATTCAAAGAAGTAAAAATTTTGTATAGGTTTTTATTATATACTTAGTAGTA